TCTTTTCTTTTTTGAATTCTATTTACTATTATATTTACGAAATGCAATATAAATGTTAAATTGTAATAACTATGTGTCAATATAAAATAATTTGTATCGTTAAGACATAAATAAGTAACAAAAGAAAATCTTTCATTGACTGGTTTATCTAATAGCTATTTATTTATAATAATATTTCTTTAAAAATTACGTGACATATTTTATTCAAATTGAAATGATACACATCCGCCTCCGGCCCGGGAGACATTTTGAAAATTTCATTTTGGCCCGCGCTTTAAAGTATTTGCCCACCACTACTGTAGAGCCTTGATAGCTGTGGTTTTCATAGCTCCTGTAAGTCAGGCCATTTTTTGGATCTGTTCCAATTTACGGTTCGTAGTTTTCTGCTTGCCTTGCGGCTGCAGACAATCACACCGTAAGTTGGCATAGGTCTTATGATGGTAGTATAGATCCACTTGCCAACCCCACGTCTTGTCTATTGTCCGACGACACTGCTCAGAAGGAATATATATTTTTGTACTTCTGTTTTCGATGTGGGAATTACATGTAAACTTGCTTTCGAGTGTTATCCCAACCTGCTTGAAGAAGCTTAGTGAGTACTAGTATTTTAAGAGATTTATTAAAGTTTTTTTTATAGGTCATAATATGTTCTATCTATAGAATGGACCTTTGCATCCCTTTAGTCGGGGATAAGTAAATAATCGTTTATTGACCACTTATAAATACAAAAACGTAGTTTTGAAGTCAGGAAGACTACAAACAAGATAAATATATTACATATAAACAGTTAACCAGTGTAACCAGAAAGTAAAACTTTGTACACTCTAAGAATAATTAATTTATAAAATAACTTTGATCTACTGTTCTTGATGAGTAACAAATTCCTTTATAGAATAGAAACAATGCTCTTCAAAAAACGTTTTTGATAATTGTTTGAATTTTTGAATTTTTTAAGTTTATTTTTTTGTGTAGTACACAACCTCGATCTTAATATTATGATATTGTCAGCTGTTCGCGTCATGTAGCTGTGATATCCAGCGTGAGTCGGAAAAACAGACAAATTTCAGTGGATTTCAACTAAAGTTTGGAGCATAAACATACATGGTAACGTAAGTACTTTCAATTTTTTTAATATTGGGCGGCAGTGGCTGCACGGCGAAACACCTCCAAGAACGCGAACCGCAGACTTCTGCAATCCAAAGGCTCTCTCGGTCTCCGTTGCGTTCCCCCACAATAAAAGTCCATATGATAAGACAGTATAAAACAGTGCAAAGTAAACTATGCGGAGAGTGTTTTGCGAGATGGAACCTCGCAGTTGTCTCAGAAGAAAAACCTGAGAAGATAATTTTTTACTTCTTCTATTGGTATTGAAAATTAGAGTCTTTGTTTTATCGGAATTTAATTTAAGTTTATTTGCAAGGAACCACTGCTCAATCATGGAGAGTGTAGTGGCAGCCTTTTTATTTAAATTAATTAGATCTTTCTCCGATTCAATCAATGATGTGTCATCCGCATAGAGTATACTGCAAGCAGCATTTGTTGCAAATACTACGTCATTTATGTATATTATAAACAAAAGTAGACCAAGGATGGAACCCTGAGGCACTCCATTAGTAATGTCTAACAGAGTGGATTCCCGGTCATTCCAGACAACATATTGCTTCCTTCCGGTCAAATAGGATTTTAAAAGGGCTAGGGTATTTTCACGAATTCCGTATTACTTAAGTTTAGAAAGAAGTATATTAGTATCCACGCAGTCGAATGCCTTGCTGAGGTCGCACATCGTTACCGAAGTCGACAGGCCCTCCCCCAACCCATCAACCACATGCTCAATTATTGTGTATAAGGCACGGATGGTGGACCTACCGAAAACCAAATTGGGAATCTGTTAATAATTTCCTTCCCTCAAAGTAAGCGATAAGTTTATCTTTTATTATCGACTCAAAAATGTTTCCATTGATAGGAACGATTGCTATGTGTCTGAAATTAAAGATATTAGTATCCCCTCTTTTATGGAGTGGAAGAATTTTTGTCACTTTTAATTCATCCGGAAAACGTCCCTCTTCAATGCTATTGTTTATTATTAACGTCATAGGTTTCAGAAGTGAAGATATTGATTGCTTAATAATATTGGCATTTAGTTTCGAAATCGCTTCCCTTCAAAAGTGCAGACATAAAAAACGAGAAATTGGGTCTAGTTGATCGGGAGATGTAGGCCATAGCATCTACTATTGAAGATGTGATGGTTTTCGTTTTCTCCGCTGACGCAGAAGCAAAATATCTGTTGAATCCAACGGAGTAATTGTGGATTGAATAGAGTTACTGTGCTTAGACCATCTCTCCGGATTAACAATATTCCATGTCGTTTTAGATTTTTCATTTGAACTCAGAAGAAAGTTTTTTTTTCTCCGCCTTTCTAGTGTGACGATATTCTTTGTGGAACCGTTTGTAAGCATGAAAGTCTTGGTTACTTTTTGAACTATGGCAATTTTTTTTAAGATAGAAAAGATGCTGGCTCATTTCTTTAAGGTTATCATTGAACCATTTAGTTAGCGAACGATGGATAGTTGAGTTAACAATTTAACAAGTTATTTAAAATTTGTATTGTCTTGATGGACTCTCTTACCCTTCTGTGGAGTTTAAAAACCCCTTTAACAAAAGTCATTGAGAGGCAATAAGCGAACACGATACAACAAATTCGTAATTACGCCACCAGATAATCAGACTGGATTTCGTTCGACCAAAAACCGGAGGTGGCACTTAAGCGAGTTTTAACGATTTGTGTCATTTTGAATTTTGTCACATATACTTTAATGTTTGTAATATTCTTTGTGTGATTCAATTCGTGTTGGGCTCAGCCTGTTTGAATGTGTTAAGTTTTCAGTTCTTATTTTTAAAAATTATTAAGCTTACGCTTGAACTATAATAGAGGCCTATGGATACAGTTATACGAAATGCTGTTGTGCTGATGCATTCAGCAAGAGACATAAACGAACGATGACTCTTTCCCAATAAATGGGTACAGCAAATTCAAAATATGCATAATAAAAAATGATAAAGTAGCGGGGACCAAAAGGAGCATAGGGAAAATAGTTTTTCCAACTATTACCGCATTTAACTTAAAAGGGGTAAAACAGTAACGAAATTGAAGAAATTATAGACAGGCAAAAGTTTTCAAACTAGTAAGCAGGAAGTTTATAAAAACATACATATTTTAGATGTATGATGTATAATAAAATTAGGTAAATTTTATTACATCTTACTGGGTTTAGAATAAAAGTCTAGTGTCACCTTTGAGATCGTCGTTTATTATCTAGTTCAAGATAATTTACTTATTTGCCGTCCTCACAAATTTAATTTACATCGTTTAACAAAAGTTATTTTAAAATATATATAAATTATTGTATTTGAGACATATCAGAGATCATAAAATAGTTGAATAACGTATCACTTATGCATATTTTTAATAACTTGTTGAATAATATAAATTAAAGTTAAATTTACATTTTTGCCAGCTATCTACCATCTACCTAATAGACCACAGGACCGAACCCAGAAATAGAAGATATGTCTTTGCCAGTTTTTTCTAATCCGTTGTATTGCACTTGTGTTTTTGACAACAAACGGTAGAGTGTCAATTTCCCATATATTCATCCGAGGCTTTATATTTGGGTTTGGTGCCTGCGCAATTGTTAGGCAACCGGAGCTGGCCTGGCAAGCCCTCCCGTCCATTGCCCATAAGCGTACACCCTCCAGACGCCGTTCTCCAATTGGGGGGTTGTTCCGCGCATAGTTCAGCCTACCGCTCGGCAGGCTTCCATTTCAGAACGGCTATGGTGTTGGTTGGCGAGGCCAGGACTAGTGCTTCATTATGCGGAGGTGCCACCTAACCGCACTGACGAGTTATACTCACACCTTCAAGAGGGACCAGAACCGAGCCGCTGAATAAGGCGTGGTTGACCTCCGTCCTCAGGTGCTTTCAAGCGTAGCTACATCACCTTCTCACACTAGCCCCTGCCCTGGTGGCTATCCTTGGGATCTGAAAGCCTAGCGGATGTAGTGGGTGACTAGACCACACTAGAGCCCTACGCCCGCCGCCCGCATAACCAGAGCCCCACTTCGTCACCAGTGTCAAGACCGGTGTTCAGCAGTTACCACGAGGAGGGGGGGTTGGCACTTGCATGGGGGAGGAGTCTCGGATACTAGTTAGAAACCGACACCTCAAGCGACTCCAACAAATGTCTTAGCAGACTTACAAGAGAGGAGAAGTCCAAGTCTCGGATAGTAGTACCGAACGGCCCGACACCTCAAACGACTTGGACTGCGGAAGGTGCTTGACCAGAGCTTCGCGCGCCCCCAAACAAGTGATCGCTTAACGAGTTCCCACACTTTGGAAGCAACTACTTCTCCCCAGCCAAAAAGCCTTAAGAGTCATAGTTACTCCCGTTAGTGATTTTGAGTAGAATGTGAGAAGCACGTTGAATAAAGCACACACAGTACACTATATTAATGTGATTTAGATGACCGTTTTTTAAACCGCCGAAATTTGGAATCCAAACACACTGATTTGTCATTCAGGATCTACCATTGTTTCGGTTTTTACGTTTACGATTTTTATTTATTGGAGACTATTCAACAGATTTCGTGATTATTAATAAACATTACTTGGTAAATATTAGAATTGGAAATTAAATTAGTTAGGCTATTTAGATAATGACTTAAATATGACCTACAAATATTAATCCCAATACTACAATCCGAGCGAAACGCGCTTTTTTTTTTAAGATTGTAGGCTATATTTTCATTTTTCAGTTTTGATACTTGCAAAGTTGTCAGTCACTTTTATAGCAAATCCGTTTGTTTGATTCTCAAACAGTAACAGTTACCAACCAAAAAGACCCATGTAACTTTGTAAGAATTCATTGTGCTACTTATACCATCTACGCGTTGCGCGTCTTGGATCCACAGGGATGAGGGGAGATAAATAAATGTGTAGCGCGATAAATACGATTTATTTTCTACCTTAAATTTGCATATAACACCAAAAGTTTAGCCCTTATCACCAAACTCGAATCTTTGCTTCCAAATCAAGTTTTATTTTATGTATTGTGATTGCTTAATACATAAACTTATTAATTTTAAATTTTACAAACATGAATTAAGGGTAATCTACAAAATGGTGACCAAAAATAAAACCTCGTCTTTGGTGAATTGTAAGGGTCATAAAAAAAATTGAAATTGCACACAAGGATTTATACAAACGTTGTCTGACGTTATTTACAACAGTCGCGATATTGTTTTGATTTTCTACAAATTACTGCTCTTGTACTTTCTTTGAAAAAGAAGCGAATTTTTAGTAAAACATAAAAAAAGAAACAAAAAACAATCCAAAAATGTGGACATTGGGAAAATATCAAAATTGTTTATGAAATTCTGCTCTACTTTTATCAAGTATTGAAATGTGTTTTTTGACTATTCTTAACCTTTACTCAATTTTTTTTTTAAAAAAGGGTACCTACCTACCTAAAGAACACTTTCTAAAAAAATGAACAACAAATCTAAAAGTATGAGGATCATTTTATTTAGAAAATATATGGAACTAAAATGTTCTATCTACGCCACTGACCTTTAGTTTGAGGACAGCGTTTCTTCTGCCTCATTTTAAAAATATATAGAACAATTGGACAGGTTTAATTTTGCTTACCATAATTGGAACAAACAATAGACAAGGAATCAGCTTCACAAGAAATAAAAAGTAAAACTGAAGAAAAAGATATTTTATTTCAGAAAAAAATTATTAGAAAGTAAGAAAATACTTTTTGAGAATAGAAAATCACGAACCCAATAATAGGGATAAGAATGCCTTCACATGATAATAGAAGAAATTACAAAGGAACTTCGACAATGTCATCATCGCTATCAGTATTCAACCTTCTCTTTTTCCTTGAAGAGCCTTCTTGCGGATCATGACTAATATCTTCGTCATCGACAATCATCAGATCATCATCATCATCATCATCATTTTCTGGTCCATTGGCAGGCAATCCATTCTGCAAACCTTTAATAACATACAAATTACAATCGATAGTTACCAGATAATAATAAGCCCACCGTTTTTATCTTCCTTTGCTTTCAGATCTTCAGGGTTGGCAATTATTTTAAACGGCGGATCGTCTTTTTCATTGGCATCATTCATATTAACCACAACGGTGAGTTCATAATTTTGCAAGAAATCGTCGCATTTTAATATACTCCCATCCAAAATTCCCATTTCCGACAATGTTTTGTTATCGTTGGCCTGTAATTTAAGATAAGTAATTGACAAAGAGACAACTATGCTCTGTTTCTTAATGCGAGAGAGTTATATATGGTTATCGAACTGCAGAACTTAGTGGTCTTGGTCGCATTCCGAAGGCGTAGTATTATACCTACGATGATTGTAGAAGATCCCGAGAGTGGCAGGTAGACAGATACCTACCTGTGCCTTAAAATTAGAATTATAAATACTTTCCGGCAATTGTTGGCAAAGATTCTTCTTCTTTTTGCTGAGAAACGGATTAGTAAAACTGAGCGACTTCCATCAGACGAAATTGTGGAAAACTTTGAAGGAAATAAATTTTCGTTTTGAAAAAACTCAAAACAGAAAAACACTAGAAAAAGACGAATTTAACTGCTGGCGACGACGATCTTTGCGAGCAGTTACACAGCAGGAATATCTATTGCCTCCGTGAAAATTGGATACATGAAGTGAAAGAAAAGCGGACTATAACCGTTATATAGAGATAACATATATTATGTAAAATGAAAAGAAAAAAAATAGAAAAAAAAATGCACAACAAAACCCTTGCTAAACCTTAACAGACATCATTCATTGACTTATTTTAAATTAGAAGTAATTTAAGAAAGATATGCTGAAAATTTGGGGAAATGTGGGAACATGAAAACAAAAATTTACAAATGGTGTTGTATTGCAAATAGTAAATTTTGTTTAAATACTGTTTATTACAATTTACCTATTTTCGTATTATTTGTTTTTTTTACTTAAGCTTAATTCATTAATTAAACAATTATTAATTAATTAGTATTATCTCAATTATCAGCCCATTTCTATAATTATATTGCTGTATAATGATTATATTTATTTTTTTAATTATCTACTTGTGAGTGTACATAAAAAAAAAACTGCAATACCGAAATCCATTATTGCAATTTATATGGACTTTACAATATAACCCTTAAGTTGTCCACTCTGTCTAACCTTCCCCCTCATTGCAAAGTGCCTTTCTCACATTAAGAAACTAGATATAAACTTATTTTTAAGTACCTCTGTTTCTCCCTCCTCAGACGAAATTACCACCACGCCTTTGCCATCTAGTACGACATCGGGGGCGACCATATTTAAATGCTTTTTCAATACATCATTTTCAAACTCCTTCACTAACATTTTTTCCACATTAACGAAAACGTTTACTAGGGGTTTGGGGCTGCAAACATAACAGTGCGGATTCGCTACTAGCATTCGCGTGTCAGTCACCAAAATTAGCTTTGAATGAATTGATTTCTGACGTAAGTAGATAGATGGACATTTTTTATATTCACCGACGAGAACTCTGAAAGCGTACAAGACGACCAACCCCGCGATCATAGCATTGGCAGTTGCTATAGCGGGTATTATGTTACCGGCAATTGCTATAAAACGAAAAGGAAAGCCGTTACAGTTAAACAATACACAAAATTAATATTAAAAATTGCTCACATTTTATCTCAAACCTCGATTTTTGAACAATGTTGAACACCTTAGAGCGAAGGTTAGCACAGGCGGTGACAAAATCCATGGCTGCTTTATCATCTTTGTCCCACAATAGAAATTTTTTCTCAGCGAGCTCATTTTTTAGCAAAGCAATGGTGTCCGCAAACACTCTGGCACATTTGGCGACTGACCACACTTGCATATCTACAGTTCGGACGTCATTCCCATCTCCATTGGTTTTACCATCGGTTAAAGAAACCGCGTCTTCCCACAACAAAGGAGTTGGAGGTGTACGAGATTTCCACAAATTTTCTAAAAGACAGAAATGCTTTCAAAATTTTAAATTATCTTAATATCCATTAATCCATGTAACCTATTTAAATTGGTCAAAATAAAAAGTAAGTCAATTGCTATGTAAATCACTACCCTTTATCTCACCGTGTAAAAAATCCTTCATAGTATTGAAAGCCTTTAATTACATTTGTTTAATATAATTTGGTGACTTATCAAAGAATGCCGAAGAAAAATAGTTTATGCAATACATAGATTTCTTTAACGTCAGAAATTTAGGTTTTATATTTTCATCAACACCGGTATTATAAGCGTGAAGCATAATTACCTACATGTACTTTTACATAAACTCAGCAGTTGTTAAAATTCTCAATCAGATCAGCTCTATTTGTTAACCGATTAATCTAATCCCCCCGCCCCCCGCGCACAAACATGCATATAAGTAGCCAACAAAGTTTTTGAAATTTGTTATAAGAAATATTGTCTTAGATAATTTGTGAGCAGTGATGTCAATATAGGCTTTAACGAAACGTTTATTTTTATTGTATTTTTTTATAATTAATAACCATTTTTTCTGTCCTACACTTGTTAAGTTGATAAATTGATAAGTCCCTGCCCATTGCTGTATCCAAAGCTTCAATACCCACTTCTGTGATATCATCGGCAAGGAAATATTTTTGATTTTTGTCTTATCAAAATAATAATCATAATATTTATTTCACAACAAAATAATACATAAAGTAACACAAAATTGGTTGCAAAAATGAAGTTGTATCCGATCCTTAACCAGCAATAAATGAAAAAGTTTTCTACAGTTGGAAATAAAAACAGTATACAACAAAAAATAAAAAAAAAACAAATAAAAGGCATAACAAAAAAAAACTCCATTGCACAGCTTACAGACTTTATAAGAGATCTTTGAAAGAGGGTTATACAGCCACAAAATTTAGCATATACATCTCAGTATAAAAGCTAATTTTGTTATAAAGGGGACGCTTATTCAATATTATATTATTAAACAGAGTAAGCAAATGTAATTTAAGCTTATTTGTTTAAGCTCATTGTTAACCACTTTATTTCTATAAGTTTATATGAATAAATGAAAGCAAACACGACTTTTTGACATGTGTATTCTGTTAATGTCACAAATCCAAACATGGGCCACATACAATATCACAAAAATTAAGGTGACTTAAAATCAATGAATCAGTCAACATTGTTTTTAATAACTTTCATCATTGATATATATCAAGAACAGCACAGGTGAGAACACTGATCCCTGTGGTACTCCATGATTGGTGCCTCCACCAACAGAACAATGTGCAAGGTTCTATTTAATATGAAATTATTTAATTTTTTTATTAACTTCAGCTGTTTTGACGGAACCCATAAAATTTGAATTTTCTTGACAGGATCTTATGTATTATGCAGTCTTGGTGCGGTCGCAGCAACCTTACCCTCCTCAAGACCATTGACCAAAGCTACCATAAAACTAACTGTGGGCTTAGATTTTCAAAAGCTCAACTGGATATCTTATAATACATTATTCTCAAAATAATCATAAAGCTAAGTCTCAATTAATGACTAAAGATTTGAAATAAAATTGGGTTTATTGAAACAGGTCTAGAGTTATTTAAGTCACTTCTATTATTCTTTTTTATTTACCCTAAATGTAAATGTACACCTGTTGGTTAATTATACTTCCTTTAGTTACAAGGTGATTGATTGAGGTTTAATTTAATTGTAAGATTCTTTTACACCCTTCACGAGGTGCGATTACTGTTGCTTAGCTAACACTTTTTAACTGCTTTTAGGAAAACAATGTTTAGTCTCAATTTTTCGGGACTCAAAATAGTGGAAAAACACTTACCCATGCTTAATAAATACTTAATATCATCATGGAAAAATTTATTAAATAATTTTTGGGGGTCATAATTTGAGTCTTGCACCCACTGCTTAGTGGAAATTCTTTTAATGTTGCCAGATTCAGTTACACTAGTTTCCCCATCAACTCTTGCTTCTGGGTCCTCTGAATCTGGAGACACATCTTGGTCTGGATCATCTTCACCAAACAACTGACTGAAAATGAACTTTTCAATATATTCAATTTACATAGGGAAAGATTGGAATGGGATGCCCTTACTCACTTGAATAAGTGCTTGGCCCAAACAATGCAATGAACAGGCTCAGAAGGGGTGTTACGAATAGTACACCCTGGATAAGTTTTTTGCGGAGGTTTTGGTAAACATTCGTAACATGGTGTAACACCCTTTTTAATTAATTCTACTTGTCCAGAATATCCAGACGTGCCAGACTCTATCAAGGGAACATCAGCTGCCAAACACATCCGATTAACATGATTCCTGGCAGTCCTGTTGTCCAAGGCATTTATCACCAAATTGAAATTTTTGAAAAAATTAACTCCATAATCTGAGCTAGAAAAACAGGAATATATTATTCCTTATATTCAATAACAATCTGCAAATATATGTTACCTTAGGACACTATCATGGTAAGCTTTAATGTTTACATTGGGGTTGGTTGCAAGTATGCTTTCACGAGCTACCACTGCTTTTGGTTTGCCAACATGTTCCTTCCGGAACAAAAATTGCCTATTGAGATTGCTCACGTCAATAGTATCTAAATCAATCTAAAATTAAATTTTCAATAGAGCATGCAAATAACCGAATAACGGATCTTACAATTTCGATATCTTGAAATCCAGAGAGAGCCAAATTTTTTAAAACCTCACAACCTATTCCTCCTGCACCGACCACCAAAACTTTGCTTTTAGGAATTACATCACGACTTTTGGGATTAATAGAATACGGTACTAAAGATGACATTGTGATAAATGATGAAATTGTTAAATTGTAACGAGCTAGAGTTTTTTTTAACCAAAAACTTAAGCTTATAGAAAAACGCCGCTACCACCATAGATGAAAAAATTGCCCAACTCACGCAGAAACCATAGTATAGACAAGGTGTCATCGAAAACCCCGAATAACCTGTACCGGACGTCCAAATTGTGTTCTAGCGGCCAAGATTACTGGGATTATTAGGCCAACAACAATTTTAATAAGTAATATGTCATAAGTTTATAATGTATCCCTATTAGAATTTGTCTGGAGATCTACTGAATAAAATGTTTCCGGACAGTATGGAACGGAATGATAATTAATTATGAGGTAAATACAATACGTAAAAATGTAATACTAAAAATAAATAATACGTTGCAATTTTATTTTTGTTGTACTCTTGTAGGTCATCGTTGAAACCAGAAACTTATTTAAAATACGCACAGATACTATTACTAATCTTGATTTAGGGTTGCTCAATACATATACAATACAAATACAATACATAGAGTGCAACATATACAAGGTGTTTCAACTACAAATACGTAAATCAATATATTGTAAATAGAAAAGTAGACCCAAAAACAACTATTTTTTTTATAGCTCACGCATTAAAACTCTAAGAAAAAGAAGTTAAGGGCAAAAGCCCTGCGTATTAGTAATCAATGAAATAAATGATGCTACCAAACGCAAATGTTTTTCTGTGCTGGTGACAAATTCAATTGGAAGGATCGTTGGGATCGTTTCTTGAAACAACGGTCTGTTAAACAACATTCTATGCTTTCAGTCGCGTTTGATTCTTCGTGCGGCTTGGTGTTTCGAGCAGAATAATTTGAAACTTAGGTTTGTTGACAAAATATATCGTGGCAAAAGATTGGCTGTGACTTGTGTGGTTTCTACTGAAAAACGCTTTGCTGTTCAACGATATTTACAAAGAGTAGAGCAATTGAAGCAAGGTTAACGTCTTTTGTTTAGGTAGGTGTTGGAAAATGACAAAAAAAATCGATATCCTGGCTATGCATGTTGTGTACGCACGAGAGGTACGAAGGACTTAGAAACTTAATTAATATTAAATATAGCAAAACTTGACTTTGTTTCTTCAGACACAATAATAAAATTATGACGTTTTAAAAATAGTAAACCTACCTACTTTGATTTTTTTCTTGGACGAGGTACAGACAAATAGATAAAGGGTCACAGTCACCCATGTAAAATAATTCAAAAGCCCAAAAAAGAAACAATAAATTTTAAAATATCTTGATAACCAGCGTTCACTAAGCCGGGATACCAGTCCGTATGGGTAGAGGGTGGCTACTTTTTAATGTGGACTGTGTGAAATCATCATCTGAGTTCTTTGTGGAATACAAATACAAATATATTAAATAGTGGGGAGAATTGGAAACTTTGAAAAAGAAAACATTTCGAAAGCACCTAAGTAAAATTTATTATCCAATGGCAAAGTTATAGTTTAATACTTACCAACAAAAAAATCGTGTTTTTTTATATGGCCTCAGTATATTTTTGGATCATCGAAAAGAACTTAAAATTACCTTTCCAAAAATATAGAAAATTATACATGGGGCTCTTAAAGGGTTGGGTTTTTGTCCCAGTTTTAGTTTAGTCTCGCATATTAAGTCATTTGTATTATACACCGTTGCACAATCGTAGCAAAGTTCCAAGTCTCCTTTGTCAGAAGAAAGCTCGGAAAAAAGAATGATGTAAAAAAAATCTGATTTTAAAATTTCCTCAATTATTCAAAAAAGTTTCCTTAAAACCAAAAACACTTGCCATAGAACTTCTTCTGTATATATATGGAATATAGCGGTTTTAACAGGAAAAACCTATTTTTAAACTAGGTAGAGCAGAGTTGACTTACATGTTACAGGCCCGATTTTTGAGAAAAATTTTATGGCACCTTCGACCATTTTGGAAATCTATCCAAAACTAATCTGAGCTTTTCGCACTTTTCTTTCTAAACATCGAACTTCAGATATTTTGACGAAATACTGAAGAAAAAATGCCACATCCAAATGAATAACTTTTAATTGAACTGTCATCTGTCATGTTTTAAATTATTGGTTGAAATGAGATTTCAAATGACCGTGCCTGAGCATATGGAAGGTGACTCCAAAACTTGTTTTATCAGCATAGACAGGGCGTCTATATAACTGGTATTTAAACATTAATGTCATTAAAATTAAAATATTAAACACACCTTTTGTATTTCGTATTTTTAGTTTTTATAAGTTGACTTTGACATTTTTAGACTTCAACGGTTAGTCAAATTAGATTTGAAGTGCCTCTCTCATGTCATGAATTGATATATGCATAGCCAACTTATACCCCAATTTAAACTATACCAGATAAATAAATTTTCTTAAACACCACCTTCTACTGATTCTTCTATATTTATTAGTTCGTCAGGGATCTGCACTTGTCGTGGTAAATCCGAGAGTAAATCATTTTCAAAATCTTCAGTTTGTAAAAAAATAAAAGTCGTATTATTTACTTAGGTATGAATAATGTTCATATTTTACTAAAACTAATAAAAGACCTCCTCGAAGTAGTACATTGTTGTTGTCAATGTTAGCTTATAAATTTAAATATATTATAAGATATTGATCGCAAATTTGTCATTCCTCTTTTTAATCGAGTTTTGTCTCCGATAATATTGTCCATCACTATATTGCCAATTTCTTCTTCTATGAGTAAGTGTAAATAATTAGTATTGAAGCCCAACATGCACGTTTGGCTTAATAATTTAGTATACCGGGTGACACAAGAAAGTGGGAACACTCTATAACTTTTAAAGGGTTTGACCCAGTCTTTTGAAATTTGGATGGCTTAATATAAACCAAACGTGCAATTTTTTGCAATGATGAAGTCAATATCACTTCTGGTTTGAGCGGAATCAACGGTAACTTTTGAATTCTAAATGGCACTTCCTATATTTTTTGCATTTTTGGATTTAGGAGATTACTTTACTCTCGATAGGACCATTTTTCCTAATCTGTTTTTTTTTATTTGTCCAATTAAAAATTACTTCATGACTACAGGTCATCCTAAAAAAAATTACTTCATTAGGTGAAATGTTATTTTTAATTGGACAAATAAAAATAATTAGGAAAAATGTTTGATATATCTAACTATCCAAATTTCAAACCGTTTAAAAGTTATATGCCGGGTGTTTTGGTAAGGGAAACGAGGTAATTCGGCAAAGAGAAAATGCTGAAAATTATTTTCGAGTTTCTGAAATGACCACCAGGGGGGTAGTTGTTATCTTGGATTTTAAAACTCGGTTTTACAAAAATGTCTAATACTAACCCTAGTTTAAATTATTTAGTCGCCAACAAATTCATGATTGATTTTTAATGAATAAATAATTGGTAAAATTTATTAATTACGGGGTAATTTGATGCCCTGCCAAGATATTTTAAAAAAAGTAATAAACAATAATAATAAATAGTATTACCAAACAATAGTGAGACATTAATGACAATCCGTAAAGTGAAAAATATTCCTAAAATCCAACATTTTTTACCGTTAAGTTGTTTAGGATCAAGACATTGAGTTGCGAAAGTCATATCGTTGGATGAAATAACTATTTTACGTTATTTGTAGGTTGTTTCCAAGGAGCGACGTTTGACTTAAAGTTAACTCATTTTGGCAAGTAGCACTTGGTAACTTCCTACCTACCTAAGCATAAGTATTATAAAATTATGGGAACTTCATTGGGGTATATTTCATTTCGATTTTTTGGAGTAATCACTCAACTAATGATCGAAAATTATACTTGGATGTCATCATCAATTCGTTTAAGTTTTCTCTGCCTTTTTTCTGTTTGGCTTCAATTTTTTTTTATCGACAGAAAATTAAGAATGTCTGAAAGAAAAAAGTTATGGAATTTATAAAAATGTTATTTATTAATTTGACACTGTCACTGACAACACTCTTTAGGTTTTGAATATATTTTTTATGCATCATTTTTACTTAATATTTCTTAATTATCACGAAATACCAAGAATTTTCCACATAACCTAAAAATTATTTTTTAAAATCGGCGAAATCTGTAATAGTATATTATGCAACAAGTGCGGTAAACGGCAGTTTACCAAACGTGCATGGGAAATATCTCCGAAAACATCCGAAATGTTCGAAGTGGCTCGGATTCGTGGGAAATGAAACAACTGACTTGGTAAAGTGACGCTTCCCGCCCGCTAGATCGGTGCGTAATTAGGTATTTTACAGAGGGGACTAGAAAAAATAATCTGTGAAATCTTTGTAGAATATATTAAACCTGAATCCGGTGAAATCTTCCTGAAATTTTGCTTGAAATTTGTGAAATCAATCGTAATCAATTTTGGATGGTAATGTACCTCTCGGAAAAACGCTTTTTAACAACTCCAAAATTATTAAAATAATCCTTGAGATAGGACACGGCAGAAAAAAAATCCAAATTTTTCTAGAAACCTAGTTTTAAAATTGAATATAATTATTACCCCCGCTGGTGGCCATTTCAGATGGTCTCAAATAATTTACAGTAGTTTTTTTGACCGATTAAATTTTTTTAATAAATTTTTAGAATCGTCCGTTTTCCTAATACCGTACCTCATTGCCCTTACTAGGATATCCGGTATATGGGACAAATGTATGTATAAAATATATTTGAGTTCATTTAAATGTGTACTTAGTCAATTACTTTATCATTACATATACATTATTAGTCATTTTTTTGCTACATCTTCCACGGCGTATTTCATAAAACAATGCATGTGTGAATTTTTTACATGTAATAGTTCCTTCTTTCTCAAATAATTTTTAAATTCAACATTTTTGTTCAATAAGTTTTTATTTTCGCCAAGATGAAGTTGGAGTCTTCTCTATCCACCTAAATAGTCTTCGAGATCTGGTATCCTCGTCTATGGCACGAAAAAATGGTTAGCAGACCTTTGCTTCCAATATTGAAGATTACGAGTCCCTTCCATTTTCCTCAACGCACCTCAATACTCGTTGACAGGCCTTCCATGAAAGCGTGATGAGCACTTGTTTTGCCACATTTTAGATATTATATAACCTACATTAATCCACGTCTCATCAAGTAAAAGATTTTCAGTAAAAGTACTTGACGATTATGCTCGTCCCTCTAAAAGTGGCCCATATATGTTTTCAAGCTAGTTTACCTACGCCCGAGCCTACGGATATGGCCAATACCAAGCCTGAGCCAAACTAAACGGATTTTCCCATTTTATTACTCCACAGTTTTCTGAAATAGCCTATCATACATTTGCAAAAGATGTTTCATTTTCAATTTTAAGGATTTTCTCCAAATCGGAGCGGCAGCCCCGCGTTTTGCACCCGCCGATCTAAATTATCCCCCGATGTGGGTCATCCGTCGACGGCGAACATTTACAAAAACATTTGAAAGAGAGAAACGTTGCGCGTGCCAGCGTTGTATTTATAACCTCCGCGAAGTGCTCCGGGTCGACGGGCTATATTTTTAGTGTCGCCAGCACGTACAACATGGCCGTTTCCTCAGCCACCGTGATTTTCTTCCAGCACGCCTGATCTGGTCCGCGTGAAGAAGAAATGGCCCCCGGACCGTCGTCATGGATCTAGCCGAAGCTGTCGAAGATTTGATCTGCACGTTCGACGGATACGCTGACACCACCATGGATACGATCGCCATGTTCCTGTTCGGTTGGATCCTGGCCGCCTTGTTCGTCTTGTGGCTGGGCAAACTCGTGTACGAGCGCTTCGTGTCGAAGAAGACCAAAAACAAGCTCGAATTTCTGACGTCGTCTTCGACGGGCGTCAAGAGTGAGCCGGGGGGTGTGGCCGACGTTGTGGATGCCGCGAAGAAACCTACGATAGTGCCCAAAGCCTCGGGGGCTTACGTGCCGCCTACGCCACCTGTGCGCAAGCGTCTGACCAGACAGAGTCCCGTGCCGGAAAACAGGAAACCCAGATTTGTGCCGGCGCCCCAGTGCACCGGTCCCGACAACGTGGTCGTTTTGTGGGTGAACGAGGTGTTTCAGTGGCTCTACAACGATTTGGTCATCGTCAACGAGCTGCTGCAGGTGTGGATCGACGCCCTCAATGAGTACACGAAGAAGTCCGTTGCCGAGGTAGGTTCCAGCAAGTATAAAAGGATTCTAGTCACAAAGAAAACTAATAAAAAAGAGAGTCATAAATTCCCTAGTAGATATCGACGACAGCGCAATAAAATATAGGTTTTAGTTTCAGTTCGCAAATTTTTGAGAAACAAGTTAGAATTTCTGAAAAACAATTCAGAATTTCCGATAAACAGGTTCGAACTTCTGAGTTAAATAAGTCGGAATTTCTGGACATAATATCTGACATAAGTCTCTCGTAATGAGCATTGCGACATCGATTCATAAATAATGAGATTTGATTTTTTTTATACTATTACCAAAATTATTATTGTTAAATATCATCTTTTCAATGTATATTTTTAAAAAATCAGAAAAAGTACCAGTCAAAATCTGAACGTTTTTAATAATTTAGTTGTGTTAAATGGATCTTCATCAATTAAAAGCCACCTCAGTTCAATTCTAAAGAAAATATGATTCGATTTATCTAAAGAATATGGTGAAACTAGGGCCCTCTAGGACCAACGTTCAACGTTCGCTTCATTAGAGGGGGAAATGAGGAAATATAGGGAAATACTGGTAAATACTGGGGAGTAAAAGGTACGTAAGATATAGAAAATAAAGCGGGAATTTCTGCGGATACTATTGAATTTTCATAGCAAATTTTGCCATACCAAGCCGATATTTGAGTGATAACACTTTTTTTCTGCTATAGGAGTATAAACAACTATTTAAATAAATTTATGATAAACAGGTAAAAAACTAAGGCTATTTTCTTAAATCGGGAGAGTAGTGAAATATAAATTTGCGTTGACAGAGGGACTGGTTGAACAACTAAAAAGTTGGTTTTCCCTCGGGTTTTTCGTATTTCAGTTATTTAATTATACGGGATTATAATCAAAGAGGTGGACAGATAAGTAAAAACATATATAAGTAAGAATCATATGAAAATAGATAAATTGTCATAAATATTATTATTTAAAAGAGTGTACTGTTAACAATACAACCCATTTGTAAATTTTAATCATCATGTTCCGAATAGTCAAATGAACTGTATTCATCAGATTCCAACATTCTTTCGTCTATTACGACATTTTTTGGCAACCATTGTCTTTATTCTCCCTTAAATTTTAAAATTGATATTATGCTTCCTTACGAACCACTTTACTTGCATCCATACTATGGGGTTTAATTGACAGTGATGTGACGGAAGCCGAAGTACCTCCTTTTTCAACATATCTTTCTAAAACGATGTTCATCATAGGTACAATACTACGTCTTAACTTTTTACTCTGTTACGCGAATAAAAAGTCTTTATACATATGTTTGAGGTTTTTTGAACCATTGAAGCGGATAAAGACGGAGGAGGCATACATAAGTCGTAAGTCAATGTCGCTCAATGTGTTCTTATTTAGGACGTCTTGAGTTACGCTACAGGTAGAGTCTCGGTCACAGTATGGGCCTATTAATTTCTTAATTTATCTCCTTTTTTTAACAGTTTACCCTGTAGTTCCATTCAGTCACTCTTTGACTCTCGAAAAATATGTCCAAGCCAATTTATTGCATAATAATAATAATATTTCAAAAATATAATATTAATAAACTTTAAATTAAGCAGATTAAATGCTTACAAGGCGAAGGTTAAGAAACCGCTACTCAACATTAATCTTACTTCATGTACCTGCAAGAAGATATTTAGCTATACAATAAAATTAATACGAAATAAAAAAACTGTGGGGGCGCAATGAACATAACAAACGCGAATATAGTATACAGAGTGTTCGAAAGATAGACGGAGATATTTTAGTTTTTTTTATTTTGTTAAAAAATATTAAAGTTTTTATAAACACTTTTTTTTATTAATATCTATAATAATTCAATGATTTGTTGAGTTTGAAAGTAGTGGTTTATATTATGCATGTCACCGCTCTCTACTGTAATTGTAATCTATTAAAAATGAGGCTCTTCATCTGCCGTTCAGTTTAGAAAAGCATCATAAACTGGCTTTGGTAAAAGGCAAGGACAAAGCTGTAAATAAATTCAGGTATGGGTGAATGACATCATCAGTTACATCATGATTTTTTATTCGGATCGGAGGGTTCCGCAACACGAGTTGTTTGCAATAAGGTTCACCTGCCTATCTCTATACTAATAATATCATGTGGAGAATGCATCGTTAAAAATAATAAAAATGTGACTACGAACATATGTATGTATACATGTGGGTCGTACAGCTCAGGCAAGATGTTTTTTTCCCGTGCAACGAAATAAATCATTAGCCCAGAAAATCGCCGTTCGATAGGCGGAAAGTTCGTATTTGTACTTGTTTAATTTCAAGGTTGACCATTTTTTAACGCCACAATTATTATTGTCAACGTCCACCAGTTATTAAACTACCTTCGAATATTTTTATATTCGCTTTATTGAAAACAACCGACGTAATTGTCTTACGTAAAGGAATCGCTAATCATTAAATGATACAAATAATAACCATTTAGGTTTCAACTAGATGGGCGATAATTCGCGAGAGCTTTTATTAAAACAAGAACCATTCGGTTAAGGTCGCTGTTAAATCTTCGGTTAAATTCGAGGTTAAATCACTCCTAATCACCTTGATGGTTTTGGTTAGTTATAAATCTGAATAATAAATTGGATTCGTTTAAAATTAAAAATATTAAAATTCCAATATTTTATTTCCGTTTATACAGGGTGTGATTTAATAAGTGTCCGATATTTGTTTATACAGGGTGTGATTTAATAAGTGTCCGATATTTGAAAGAGTGATTTCTCAACTATTTTTAAAAAATATTCGTAAAAATCCTGTGATAGAAAGTTTTATTTAATGTTAATTTTACATTTACAATATACGTTATGCGTATATACGTTAAACTTTCGATTTAGAACAAAAAAGTCAGTTAATAAATAATTACCGAAGTTAATACTAGTTAAGCAAATAAAATTTACAAATAAATCAGATTAAATGATAAAGATTAAACATTGCTACTATCTAAGAAAGAATAATATTTTTCACCTGAACTTACGCAAAAATGTCAATCAGTGTTGATTGATGAGGATATACCGACGTAGTAGGCATTTTATATTTTAATTTAATTTTAATTTTATATAAGCTAGGCTGAATTGGATAGTGAAAACCTTGGTGAAAACTATTAGCTACTCTAATTGCTATGAATTCAATAAATGTCTTCCTATGATACACCGATATGGGAGGCACATTCATTCATTCATTAAAATTTGCAGCCAATTTGGGGTTTTAAAAATGCATTTTCGACCAGTTGAAGTTAACTATACCGTGAAAGGGACACCAGATGCAAGAGGCGTGTTTAAGGATGAGAACTCACAAGAAAACAATGCAAATACACTGGTGTACATGTGCTAATGAAACCACCAAACATCTGGAAAGCTTTATTAACCGCATTATCAATATGATTAGAAAAGTGAAGACTCCCAGATTTTTCCATGCTCATTGGGTATCCATACCATAACTAGTTCTCTGGTTTCTATTCTTTCTGTTGTGGTGTACATTCCTTTCATTCATCTAATCTCTTTCTTCTTTTTAGAAAACCAATTCTACAGTATCAATTCTTTTTCTGTTCTTGGTTGATAATTGCCAACACTCTGATCCGTAAGTCATTATTGTTTGTACAATTGCGCTGGAGATATTCAGTTTTGTATTTAAAATTACCTGATTCGATCAGAGTAGTCGTAGACATTTCTGCCTTTGTTGATATAATGGGTCCCAAGTATCTCTTCTCGTACTCTTCTCTTAGTTTCCATGGTATAACTCCACATGTTCCTCACAATTAGAAACAATTGCTTTATTCGCCAGCTTTCTAAGGCTTCTTGAATGTATGCTCTATTTTTATACTTGTATTAAGGTCTTTAAGAGGCTACCGTAATCTAACAAAAAAGGTAGCTAAATTGTTTTTCAGGAAATTACTATTTCGGTATTTCGTTAAACAAAATTGCGTTAAAGATTTCATGAAACTTATAACATAAAGGTCCCTTTTAGTACCTTAAGATTAAATTGCAAATTGTTTGTATACCACGTCTCATTTTTGTTTTCCGTACTTCTACCATTTCACACTGTCTCTAGACTTTTAATGTTTTAAATTTTTTAATTTGTCGTAACGTAAAACTTCCCTGGGTATTAATTTATTTATTTCTGCCTGCGTATTAGTTATTAGGATGGTTGTTGTGTGACATTGTTTGCTCGTTTATAACCAAAAGTTTATAGTTTATGCGCAAAATTAAATTAGGTGATCTACAAATTCGATTTTTTTTTCGGCCAGGGCGATAACTGTAGACACAACTCAGTATCAGCCGATTGCCCTTTGACATTTACGCCTAATTTAACGGATTATAAACAAAACAGTTTTTATTGTTCGTTCGGTTATCGCGTGTGCAAAATTAACGGTGACGTGGTTCGAAGAACATTTTATGTCACATCCCTTCGTTTCACGATATAATATACGTCGCGGTTTTTAAATTTAGCCGTGACAACGGCACCGTTATTTATAGACGATAATAAACAATGTTTGGTCTTGATTTTGATGCATTTAACTATCTTGCTATACGGGGTGTCCCGGAAGAAGATGTTCAAAATTAAGATAGAAGTGGAAGGTCAGTTGGAATCAAAATAACCCTGTACTTACTTTTACTGTACTGTATTTGTGGTTAAGTTGAATCTTAAAGTGTCGCTATTTTTAATTTTTTTTTTAAATTCTGTTGTAGTTCCCCAAGAACAGTGAGCAACTTTTTAAATTTCTCAAATTAAAGTCTGTGGTGGGAATAGGACTGAGGCAGGAGCTATCGCTATTATTACGGCTAATAATCATTTTTGTCATAATTAAAAGATTTATTTGAATATTATACAGAAAAAAATATAAAAAAAGTATAATACCCAAGTTAGGAGTGTTATGGTTATCAAGATACTTGAGCAAGACAAAGAGGAAGAGAATGAAGAATTTAACATGCACGCTACAAGGTTTTCCTCTGCTAACTTGCCGCCACCTACTTTTTCAATTCCGAGTTCGTCTTTTACGATCAGTCATTTGCTTTTTTAATTTAATTTAAAAAAAAATCAGAGAACTTAAACACCCGGAAATCCCAAAACGAATCGATTTATGAAAAACAAATTTCGTGTATATATCCAGGGTGTTTCAAGACAAATCCTAAGGGGATGATTCTTAGTTTAATATAAATATAATATAATATTTTTTATCTTAAAAACCAAAACAGCTAGAACAACGAATTATTACTTGTTACTAATACTGTCTGCGTATCTTTTTTATTTGTTAAAGTGAGTGGAGGCGTGAATTGAACTACTCTTATTATTCTTCTTAACTAAATTTAAAGGAAAACTTACGCAACGACATGGAAAAAAATATTGAAGAGACGGGTCAATTGCAAACTTTTTTATCAATGCAATGCAATTTTTTCAGCAAACTTACAGTTTCCAAATAAAAGATTAAAATGTAAAGCATTGCATATCGAAAAAAAATCATCCCCGGTTCGAAATCTCTTAGTAAAAGACTTTCAACCCTCTGTAGGTGGTGTTGATATAACTATCGTTCTTTTAATATTTTCCATTCCTTAATTCTACTGCAATTTTCTTGGTTCTTGTCTCCGGTTGCGCTTCAATCATATTTCGTACACTATGCACTATTATTAAATGAAAATTCTTATTAGGGAACAATTAAGTGATTAGCTTGTAAATTTTTGCTTAAATTAGTTTTATTTTGTATTAAAACTAACTACGCAATATCCAATAAAGCAATAATAAAAAAAGTCATTAAGACGTGACAGCAGCCCACTAGATTTTTTAATTTAATAAATTTTTTAATCTTGTTTTTACTTAATTTGGAAAAAGGAAAAATTGCAGAAGATAAAAGATTCTAAATAAAACATAAAATAAAAATAATATTTTGTTGTCATTGCATTAGTTTTTGAGTTAAGTAGTTAGGAAAAATGATAGGGGTAGTATAATACAGTCTCCTACACTCATTAAAAAATAATATGCGGAATCTATTTTTGTTTTTAAGATAAAAATGAAAACATGATTTTTCTGTCCGATATCTCCCTAATGGTTGGCTTTTGAGACAACGTTTATATAACAAACTACCCCTTATTTTTAAAAATGATTCACTCCCTTAAGTCTTTCGCATTTGTTTTGAAACTCCCTGCAAACGGTTCAAAATAAATAAAATTCTTTATCTGAATTCTAAACACTCAAAGCCTATATCTACAATTCAAAACTCCTACTGTTTAGTGCTTACAGTTCAATCAAATAACTCCTACATATTGTTACATTTAAATTCTGTAGTATTAGTTAATAATATATAACAAATGAATAACAATTTTTTTTCTATTTCTGTAATAAAAATCGGAATTTATATATATATATATATATATATATATATATATATATATATATATATATATATCCTAAACACAAGATACAGCTATGGGCTTGGGCTCTAGGTTATCTTACACAAAGTTACTCTTATATTTAATGACACATTGATTTAAAAAAAAAAACAGGGTGGCGATTTAAATTTTTAAAGTTGGTTCTTGTCCGTGGAAAACCGGACAGAGCTGATAGTTTATTTAAAAACATTGTATTTACTTTTTTTCGTATATCGACAAAATGTATATAAGCTAATTTTATCGTGGTCGTCGTGCATTTTTTTCTGCGCTAATATTATGGTTATTGACCACAGTAAATATTTCAGTTATATTTGCCTCGTACCCAGACAGTATTGTCTAAATTTAAAACCAACGGATTGGAAGTATTTTTACAACGCGATGAGATAAGAATAACAAAGAATTTTTAAACTGAAAACTGATTAACTCATTTACATAAACCTATAATTTGTGTTCATTGTTTAACTGTAACTCCTTGAAAACATAATTACTTGTGATAAATCATTTTTGTTTTTCCTAGTTTTTATATAGAAACTGTATGTGTTATTATTATTTACACATTGTAGACCAATTTTTGTCTTTTAGAAGGCTAATGAATACTTGGGGCTGCTTGAACATACCAATCTGAAATGAAATCTTGTATTTTGTGTACCTCCAATTATATTTGTCTATAATAGTTATATAATAACTTCTCAATATTATGATTTGAATGTTTTTTTATTGTATAATTTATTTAAATGGTTAATAAAGTTCTAATATATTCTATAATGAAAATAAAGAGGCCTAAGGGATTATTTTCATTGGAAATGACTTCCCGCTCTCTTGAGTTTGATTGCGGACTTGCTTGACTCTACCGTTGCGATGTACTTTTTCTTATATCGTTTGATGTTTTCAGCAAGGCATCGGCGTGGAACTGATCAGAATTTTGCCGGAAACTCACCCTCCAACGCTGACGAACATATTCGCGGAGGCAGATTCTAAAGACGATGTGGTAAGTATCTAGCGTTAAAAAATAACCAACGCGTGTGCTTTCCCCGCGAAACAATCAACAAGTTTCTCTTACACACGACATAATATATCGTAACCTCAGCCAATAGTTATTTCTGGCCGGCGACTCTCGTTTAAATATAGACACAGGCACCACCGCATTACGAAACGCGGCAAGGTGAGATGACGCGGTGCTTAAGAATAAAAACTATGACGAACGAACATTTGCTCTGCGAAACATTACGTAGGTACAACGTCATCTATCTTTATAAGTAGAATTATATTAGCAAACGCTACAGTGACGTCACTTCTACCTGGACCAAAAAAGATTCTTCCTCTTCGACCTCGTTAACTTGTACTGCTTTAATAATAATAATAGTAATAAACAACTACTAGAGTAACTGTTCTAGCAAAATGCTTGTTGTTGAGCAACTTGTCAAAGATCCCCTCTGCAATAAATCTCAAGCAAACAAGAAATTAAACAAAAATATTTATTATTATTAAAATAATTTATAGACGGAAAGCGCTGAAAGTTAGTCAGTTAGTTCGTTTTTCGAGAATCTAGAACGGACACCTGATGGGTGAAGCATCGTTTAAATAGTTGAATTTTATTTTTCGGCACCACTATGTTGTTGACTTGTCTCAAATTTCGGTAATGGTAAAAACAAAATTATATTGTATTAAATAATTATTTGGGCAATTTATTTTAAATGAGGAATTAGGCAGAGTATAAATTTCGGTAGTTAGTTGTATCAAGTCGGTTTGTATGGTGCACACCCAAATGACGAGCCGAGTTTGAATTAACGTTAACATAAAACTGTTGTGAATGAATTTTGATTAGATTTTTTTTTTGTTATAAATTTTTAATTTTTAATTTGCATTTATGGTAAGATATATACTAATAATAATTATCATCATCATATTTATTTCGCAACAAAGTAATACTGAAAGTATCACAAAATTTTTCTAGCCTTATGCTTGCAAAAAACCCTTAGACACTGAAAGTAACATTCGAATAGATGCTTGCATATTATGTCTGATCATTAACATGCAATTAATGGAAAAATCTTATACACTTGGAAATAAAAATAGTATACAACGGAAAATAAAATAACTAAAAAATAATAACAAAAAAAAAAGAAAACAATTAACAAATCTCGCTCTGAGGATATGGCTGTTAATACATGCATGACTTGCATCCTATATCCTGCATGTGTTTGCAAACTTTGTAAACTACCAGGCATTCTGAGAGTATAAATGAAGTACCAAAGCGGCCCAGTATTGATCCCTAATGGAGGCCAATTGCGAAAGTTCCGAATTTAGGTACTTCAATGAGATTTTCTTATCTTTCTTTCTCAAATCTCTGCAGTGCTTGGAAGTAATTAATTTTTAAATATGCCTGGTAAGTTTGCGGATGTATTAAAAACTTAAATTAGATTCTATGACTGCAAAGTGATTTAAAGCTCAGCTCTAGTGACTGATGCCCAAAATTTTGGGTCAAAGCTCAAGTCAAGTGGGATCAAAATTACAAATCATATAAACAGATTGGAGATATACCATAACAAGACGATACTGTTTTAAAAGAATTTTTTAATTCGATAAGGAAAATATCAACTTTATGAAATATCTCAAAAAACTAAAATGACAAATAAAACCTAATACATACAGTTTAATTTTTTACTAATAAAAGGTTCTATTAAAAGCTTTTCAAAATCTGTATCTTGATGTACCAAAATGCGCTTTCACTATCTTTGTCTTTCCTTGATGTACCTTTTTTTTTGTTTTTTATTTTTTCTTGTAGTTCTGTGGATTTTTTTCTACGTTGCGTCTTCAATGCTAGGACCGGTCCTGTTTCGCATTACTTTTATTAGAGCTATTTTATTTTATTCGAAAACACCTCTCCATTAATAAAATTCTGAAGGAAATCGACAGTTACGGCCGAGGTTACATTATAGTAACCGGAACCGGATGTCATACAGCGCGTACTGAAAATTGTTCACCGTCAGGTTATATCGACATGCAGCCGGAAAATGTATGATTCGCACCAATATTTTATTTATGTAGTAGTACACTGCTTTTAGGCATCTAAAAAACTTATAACAAAACAATTTCCTCATTTCTTTCAACCTGAATTCGATTGCTTTGATTGTATACAAATTTCGATCTATAAGATGATTTCTGCGCTATGCACTTCTGATGTAAACTAACCCTTAAAAACGCAATATAAGCAAAACATAAGTTGGTCACGAAATTATAGGCATTAAAGTGTCTACAAGAAAACCTAAACCATCTAAAAAAATAACCATTTTTTGCTCTGTACTTGATAAACGTAATAAATAACGTTGATAAGTTCGACTCAGGTAAATTTGGTTTTTTAAGAAGAGTAAACGAAAAAATCTGATATTAAGAGGTCTGTACCAATCCAGCGATCGTCAAAATTTACCAACACTAATGACGTTATAATTTGTGCATTATGGACAGAAGCGCCATGCTGATGAAAGTAAATATTGTGCTAGCCGCCCGTTATACAATAAATCCGGTAGTATTTGATTTAAAATTGCTGATAATCTGCTAGATTGCTAAATACCTGCTGTTAAATTGTGAATTATTGTGAATCCTTCCTTGTTGCTGGCATTTCCTGTTAAAAATTGTAATTTTAACTTATATAGGCTTCGTCGGATTGATATTTTCTTAGAGAAGGTAATGATTTTCCTCGCATGCCTCTACATTTCATCCACTAATCTGCACTTTGTGCCATTTCTTTTTAAACAGCAACTTCTAAAGATTTAGCTCGTTTTTCCAGAACATTTAAAGAGATTTAGGCATATTTTTAGAAAATACTGCCTTAAAAATGCTGCATGTTGGTTGTTGGCTGCCGCAAGGCCATTGGTTAAAATGATTTTAAATCTCGCGTATGGACATGTGTGTATGTGCATAATGCATGTGTAGGGTATATCTGTAGTAGCTATATGGTCGTACCATTTATTGGTTGAAACCTTATTGCTATCGAATTTGAGGTCGTTTTGGGTTTTTTGTGTATACCAAATTTAGGCGGATGTAATTGCTACAATAATTTTTGCTTTATAAGATTCACATTTTCTTAATATCCTTTACGTTTGCGAACTTGACATGCCCACCGTTTTTTCAATTTTTCAAGATGAATTGGCCTCAACATTTGCTAGTACAGAATTCTCATTTTCTTTGTTATTTTTCCTTATTCTATCTACGGTGCCTCTCTGGCTTTTATGGCCAGGTTGCTACATTTAAATCTCTTGATCCGTCGTGCCCGCACTTCTTTACTCCCTCCCCTAGAAGACCTCTGTACTAGCGAGGAAGTACAATTTTGCTTGTAGGCAATTCCACGACTCACTTACGTTTTACCTATAATATTGCGTTTTTAGGGGTTAGTTTGCACCAGAAGTACATAGTCTGATACATCATTTTTAAGAGAAAAAATCGAAAAGAGAATTTATTAGATAAAAAAACACGGTGTCGTTGACTCAAGGTAAAAAATATTTCTCAACAGCAGTTTTTACGTTATTTCTATCTTACAAGCGTAAAAATTTCAATTTCAACCTGCTGCATTTAAAGTTTGACGCAAAACTGAAACATGGTCGCGAAAACTGCGAAGTTCTGCCTATCTCTGCTGGTTGCCGAGAAACCCTGTGATTACAAGCAATTTGGCACATAGTGTACATAGTCTTAGGGTATTTAATTAAATGGCAAAAAATCATAATATTCTTCATCTGAGAAACCATCATCTCTTGAGGTTATAGTTCACAAGCAGTAAGTTAAAGTCTTTTATTTGACTGTTTGAATTTCCTATCTTATTACCATACACTGTTCTAAAATAACTGATATTAGTAAAACATAAAAATCGTTATATCATTTTTACCAAGAAAAAACATATTATTGCTAATATTTCGAATTGTACAACTTTGAAATAGACATTCTTTATAGTAGGTTAAGGTCTTTTATTTTGAATGTTGTGTTGGATGTTGTTACAATTCTGTTTACTTGTGTTCTATAGTTGTTTCGCTCAATATCTTTTTTTTGCTGTATCTTCCACAACGTATTTCATATAACGATGGTTGCGTAAATTTGCTCTACGTAATAGTTCTTCTTTATCAAATTATCTTCAAAGTCAATATTTTTGGTGGTTAATTAGTTGATAATTTTTTGTTTTCTTCAAGATGGGGTTGAAGTCTTCTCTACCACTATAAATAAATACTAGTGAATGGGCAGCAAAATATATTTTTTTCAAATACCTTTTGATATTTCGATTTATCCCAAATTAGCAAAAACCTGTAGATAGTCCTATCAAACACAACACGTTTGTAGAATTTTCTTGATCCAGACTGCAGTTTTAGAAACAAAAGTTGATATATAATCAAAAACAATATATTACGATATTTTTTCCCCAGTGGTCCTATAATGTATTGTATGAACAGTTATTTTCGATTCCGTTCAAACTACTACTGAAACATCCAAATAACAAATAGAAATAAAGCTATGGATGGCAGGCAGCCTTATGTTAGTTCCGTCATTTGTTTAGACGATAACGTGCGACTGCGAAGCCACCCCGGCGTTCCAGCTCAAATCATTCCGTCAGAAGGGCGACAAGGTCGAGACTTCCCACTATCGGGTGAACGTCAATCGGTTCAGAGCGAGGCTTAACATCTACGCTGTCACCGAAAAACTACAGGCCGAAGTCAAGTGCGACGGATGGCCCGAGATCAAGGTCGCCCTCGCCCCGGTGGGCAACATCAAGAACAACCTCGACGAGACTCAGCTGCAGGAAGTGATAAGGTGCCTCCCCCTCTTCATTCCGTCGGTTAACATTTCACTCTATCAACGACTGATTTCAGCGAAATCGTAGTGACCGCCCTGAGAAATGCCGAGGTTCATTTGAATCTGGCGCAGTATCCTACCAGCCCCCGGTTGATTCGTCACATCGAAATGCCAAGCCGGATTTTGCCCGTTCACTACGACGGTATGGTAAGTACTGTTACATTTTTAAAAAGACGAAATTCAAATTGGGTTTGTTAAACGCGACGAGTCACTGTGTAAAATTAAAAAAAAAAAACTTAAAATTGATTTCGCCCATGATAACAGTCAGTAACTATTTACACACCATACATACTACTAACTATTTAATCACCATACATACTACTAACTGACTGACCAGCGAGACGTGTTTTGCTTTTATATCTCGCTTCGGTTGCGGTTCCCGCCGAAGTCTTGGAACGCAGACAGGGCCGGCTCCAGCCTACTCGGTTCGCTCGTTACAGTATAATATTGAATTTATGTTGAGTTAGGGTTGGGGTATTGTGTGCGGCAGCCCTAGTTTTTTATCAGTGCCCCATCCTATGAAGTTCGTTATTTTGTGCGAAGGTTTTCAAAAGATTTCAATATTTAGTTTAGAGTATCAACTGTTCCTTGTCACCGCCGGGCATCGGAATAGTATGCGCTCCCCCTGATCTTAGTGTCTTAGGTTGCAGTATATGCTATACATGCCTAATTACACCAGTTTACACTAGTTTATCCATCGGCCAGTACTTTTACTTAAATTTTGTTGGGATATGTATCCAGGTCAGTATGGTTGTGGATCCACTCGTCATCGCCTGGCAAGTTGGCTTCGTGGGGCAGGTTTCACATAGTTGCATTAGGCGTTATATCTGATTTCAGTTCTAGAATGATCAAGCAGCTCCTGCCGCTTGGTATAGTCTTTGGTTGCCCCCCTTGCTTACCTCTCTAAAAGGATGATATGGCAACCCCGGAAGGATTTAGGTTGTTTTTAGAGAAGTTGGGAAGTGAACTGAACCGTTTATAGTTTCTTATTTTATGTCAATTTTGAGAAAACTGGTCAGGGTGGAGGTAGAAGAAGAATTTGCAGCCTAGATTTTGGGGCACGAATTTAATGAAAAACTCAATGAATGAAATAAAAATTGTCTGTCTACAAGAAAAATGCGAGAGCGTATCAAAATCAGCAATCACAAATAACAGGTTTCTATCTCGTCTCCATTTGGGATTCGGTCATCCATTTTTAAGAAATGCATTTTACTTTCATCCACTAAAGTTTAAAATTTTTAATCCTTTAATACTGTAGTCCAACGCATATTCGTCAACACCAAACCACACGGCATACAACACCGCTCCGCTGCAAGGTGATAAGCGTCTGCTGGTGAAAATAATCCGAGCCAACGAGTTAGGGGGCGCGCAAGGTTGCGTCGAGCCGTTCTGCGTGGTAGAAATGGACGAACCGCCCCAGAAAAATCAAACGTCCATTCAAAGGAACACTAACGCGCCCTACTGGGACGAACACTTTTTATTGTAAGCGATCCGTTCCCGACATTTCAGTGGACGTGTATTCAATAATCGGTTTTAGCGATTTGTCGCCTCATACCGCCGAGCTGCTGTTTGAAATATACGATCACTCAGTAAAACCGCACAGGTTCTTGGGCTTGGCGATCGTGGGCGTGGAAGAGCTACTAATAAACCCGGCACAAAGGCAGATTATATTGTTGCAGAGTCGCCCCTACGAAAGCGACAAAGTGTCTGGGACTTTGACTATTGAAGTAAGTACCATTTTTCTTAACACCGATTCTCTGGCCAAACCTAATTCTATTCTGCAATAGTGTGAATGATAAAAATTTTGTTATATTATTGTGCATTTTCGGTACACGGGGTGGCCCGTTTGTTACACCTTATCTCATATATAAAAAAATAGACGAAAGTTGGCTATCTGTATTTTTGCGGGCAAGTATCCACATTCTTATTCGAAATAGAAAACTCTAGAAAAAGGGCAGCATCTCTTTCATGAGGAGTTTGGATAGTTCCTCAATAAATTGAGCCCATAGTACTCTGAATCGATCGCTTTCAAGTGGTGCGCCGCGGGTTTGGAAATGAATTGGAGTTTTCTCTTTTTCCATCAGTCTACATGTGGCCGCCTACCTCCATTATAAGGTGCTTGATAGGATTTCTACCAGTGTTCATAATCGCGTGCGACTGAGATTGAGCGCCCTGATATGCTGCGAATGTAACCGTTTATTTGGATAGTTTTCATATCCAGAAGAAGAATGTTTTTAAAAACATGTTAAGTTTTTCAACCGGAGTGGCCAATTTACACTTTGTCACTTAGAAGTGTTATGTGCCAAATGCCTATTTAACATGTTACTTGTCAAATATTGAGATAAACCAGTTTTGCATTTCCACTTGTCACTTAACACTACTCGCTCGACAGATTTTTGGCTCTGAGGCGCCATTAGAACCCTGCCTTAGTAAACTCCCTTAATGCGGAGAGAACTGCCCCCTATACATTTATGCAACACATTATCTGCTATTCCAATGGAAGGCTCCAGTCCAATGTGCGGTGTTGCCTCCAATACCAAATTAACAGAAGTACATTGAAATAGCAAATCCAGCTCAGAGGTAAGAGCTTGGATATCCACTCAAGTATCCACTGTAAAGAGGCACAGATATCTGTGCGATAGGAGCTGCCTGTCATTGTGTCTGTTTTGGTCCTGTTCATAAACCAGATAGGCAAAAGAATATTTTGTATGGTGTATAAATGCATAAGGTAGTCTCATTTCTGCTGTCTCTCTTCATAGAGAGAACATATTGATTCCCGCCTGAGACAGATAGCAATTGTTAGTGCTCCTATGTAACCACCTTCGAGTTTCCCAAGACCTGCAATCTTAGAGCCACTCTCTGGGCCTCGAGCTTCTCCCTAAGGTGTAAAGGCTCAAGTTCCAATAGTGCCTCCATCAGCACATGTGGTTTTCAAATAGTCAATTCAACTCGCCCTATGGCTGTCCTAATGTTGTCTTTCTCAGTTGAGCCCCATATCAAAGCAGTGTAGGTAATCATCATGTATATCCTGACCGTGATCTGTGGCTTCAATCCCCAGTTGTGTGCTGAGACTTGTTTCATTGACCTGATCTATTCGGGAGAGCTTAGAGTCGAGAGTTAACCCCAGATACTTCACTTTCCAAATAGGTTTGTCAGATTTACTGACTTCCGCAGAGGTGTACACATTGTATATTAAGGTATTTTTGAAATTCCCAGATAATTCCAGACATATTTCAGATATCAAAAGTGTATGTAACAAATTTGCAGTTTATGTTCATTGAAAGTGCCGACGTACCAAACAAAAGCCACACTCAACCATACAAGATTAAGGAGGCCATCAGAACACCATCACCTTCTCCGACAAGACCACGGGCTCCCACTCCCACCAAGTTCTACACTGGTAAGCAAAAATTTTGACTACTGTATGTATCTTTTTTTGTCAGCTGTAAAATCGAACATACAGAGCATCCCACTGAGATCAATGACTATGTCCAAACGATACCGGACAAGAAAGTTTGGCTGGTCACAATTTGTGACTTCATGGATTATTGAGCTAATAGAGAACAATAGCCTATGACAGTTTTCTGGAAACTACCCATACGAACTTTTCACTGAACTATAACTGATGACTCATTACTAAAGAAATTGCAAGTACCTCTGGCAACATTATTTCTAAATTTTTTACTTCGGACACTGAATGCTTTTCCATATTATTAACACGAATTCTGTCTGAAAGCCGAATGAGCCAATTATTGTAGGACAGTACATAATAAATAGAAGCTGAAAAAAACATTTTACCAATAATGATCATATTTTATAAAGGCAATCACGAGAGTAAAATTTTTAAAGATTTTTTGACATCTTTTTAGCTGCTGCGAATGTAACCGTTTAAATGGATAGTTTTCATATCCCGATGAAAGCACTAAAAACATGTTAAGTTTTTCAACCGGAGTGGCCGATTTACACTTTATCACGTACAAGTGTTATGTGCCAAATGCCTATTTAACATGTTACTTGTCAAATATTGAGATAAACCAGATTTGCACTTACATTTGTCACTTAACATTACTCGCTTGACAGATCGGTTTACAATTTGACAACTTATTAGTAGCATTGACCATTATAGCTGATTAACAGTTTGATTAGTAACAACTGCAGGGGTGTAGTGCTAGTAGTAATTGTAAACTGATAAGTCAAGTGAGTGGTGTTAACTGAAAAGTGGGAGTGTCATTTAAAATCTGGTCTATGTCAAAACTTAGCACTAAACATGTTAACTTACCATTTAACACTTAATTTTACTAATGTTTAAGGGTGTGCATCACTAAGGTAATAATAAATCTATACCGTAAACTTCTTTACTTTTGAGCTATATGGTGTAAAAATTAAAAAAAATAACGCAGGCTAGATATTTTTGGATAAAAAATTGTCACGCCACTGTTAACATAAAATATGTTAACGAACATAAACATAGTTTAGATTCTAATTATGCCAGACACTTAAACACAGAAAAACACATTTTTGACTACAATTTTGATATTTTACATGCAGCTACAAAAGGTAGAAAATTACATTTATTAGAAGTCATGGGGATTAACAAAATGAGACATTCAAATGTATTGCTTAACGATCAATTAGATTAAAATATCTCTCCTTTGAACTTAAATTCTCCTAACAACATTAATTAAGGTTTTATTGTGATTTTTCGGTATATGTAGTAGCAGGTATTTGTAAATAATACACGGTGTTGTCGAAACAATTGTCATGTGAAAATATATAATTTCGTAAAAATCTGAATTTTTAGTTCTTATTTAAGTTGTTAAATGGATTTTCATCAAGTAAAAGCCATCTCAGTTCAGTATTCACAATCAGTTCATGCGGTTACAAAGTCTCGGTTGGCAGATAATATGATACTTGAAACAATAAAGTTCCACGGAAAAATATGATCCAACTCAAATAATACAACAGGGTCTTTTAAAACAAAAACACTTTATAATAAATAAAACAAAAACATGAAAACCAATTTTACCGAAATAGACCAGTTTTCAACAAATATGTAGCAGAAAAAATAAATTTTGTAACAACACTAATATTGTGGTAACAAATTTATCAAAATCGCTTTTATATTTAATATGTAGTCAAATTTATTTATTATATTATTTTTTATTTATATTTATCAAAAAGAAACCAATGTTTTTAACCAATGATTCTGAAATTGACGTAAGTCATATTAAAAGATTAAATAAGGACGTTAATAAAGTACAAAAGAACTGGGATTGCTTTTTAAATAATGCTATAAAATGATTACAATTATCTATTAAGTTATTGAACAAGTTACTATTTATTTTGTATTGAATTTTATGTACTTTATTTTTAATGTAAATTAAGAATTTAATAAAGTTATTTAAAAGAAAATGTGGCAACGATACATAATTTCACCCCAAACTTTTGAATTGACTAGAGTAAACGGGATTCGAAAAATTACATGCATGTACTGCGGGATAGGATAGGTCAACAGTCTCCGAATGAAATGAAGCGACTATAATGGGGGGCTATACACATGCGGGCAAGTCCGCGCGCAAGTGTGTCCAGGTAAGTCCGGGAGCAAGTGCGAAACGAATTGCGGCCACACACTATTCATGTAAACCTCGAGGTTCACCAGTTGGTGGGTCCTACTGCTGTGCAAAAAATGAAGTTGACCTTCGCACTGCTCTAAAAATCAGACACCATCTGATTAGCGGCCTATACATATGCAGGCAAGTGTTGAGACTTGCCTGTACAGGTCGAGACACGCGAGTAAGTGCGAATGTGTATGTGTCAAAACTCACGGCGCGTTCAGTTCCAAGCGCGGCTCGAAGCGAATCAGATTGTGTCTGATTTTTAGAGCAAGTTCGAAGACCAACTTCATTTTTCGCACAGCAGCACCACCAACTGGTGAACCTCGAGGTTTACCTGAATAGCGTGTGGCTGCAATTCGTTTCGCACTTGCTCGCGGACTTACCTGGACACACTTACACGCGGACTTGCCTGCATGTGTATAGCCCCCAATTCGCTTCGAGTCGCGCTTGGAACTGAACGCGCCGTGAGTTTTGACCCATACACATTCGCACTTACTCGCGTGTCTCGACCTGTACAGGCAAGTCTTAACACTTGCCTGCATGTGTATAGGCCGTTTAACACGCCATCCTTCCATTAAGGGATTCTATGAAATTCATAATCAATGTCGTTTCGATATTATAGTGTGACCTCCCTAGAATATTAAACTCGATTAATCATCTAAGGTGACATCTTTTCAAAAATATGACATACCCCGCTGCGTTTTACCCGCTCAATTAATGGTCATTGTACAAATTTGGGTCTCGATTTATCCTTCCTTTGTCTTTTATGATAATAATAATAATAATAATAATATTATTGAATTAATTAAATATACATTTAATAAGAAATTTAGACATGCCGGCGTTTTTACACTGAACCAGGTATCCAACATAAAGAAATATACAGAAAAATCGATTAAACACATCATGTGACGCTCATAAATGTGCATTTTAAAGCATTCATAGAATTTGCTAAAAAATGAAAAAAAAAAAGATACAGATTTGATACAAGAGATATGAGCCTATGGATAGATATTTCATATTAAGTTCTCAAATATGACAATTATTGTTTCGATAAAATTTGCAAAGCTGCCTCTTGAATGGCATACTTTAATATTTTAAAATCATTTGGTAAATTATTAAATACTCTTGTCATATAATAAGGATAGGAACGCTTGAAAATTTCCATCGAGTCAACTGGAGGCTTAATATTGATGTTATGTACGTCAGTCCGAAAGCTATAATTCTATTATATAGATTTTATGATGTCTTCAATGCAATTGTATTAAAATAGGTAGTCGCGGAATGTAAAAGATGCTTACTTTGTCTTAGGCGGTGAAGCAGGGACCATAGACAGCATCACTAATGAATCGCAAAGTAACGATCTGAGAGAAGTACACAAAATATGCCTGTTTAGAAAGATTGATCTAAAATTCATGTACGTTTTTTTTTTTTTAGTTATTAATATGTGGCGTAAATAAATAAACTTGAAATGAAAGATACACCTAAGTATCATAAAAGTGATGCAGACACGATAAGAAGACTTTTGAGAATTGTGATGTATAAATAGCCAATTACAGATGTCCCAAAATAGAACTCCGAGACTCCAGAGGATACTTCTAGATAACCTAACCGTCTGCTACCAAAAATCACCGTTGATATGATAATTTTTAATAAGCCTTCGTGCAGACACACTCAAACCAATATAGTTGAAAAATCGATAAATGCAACGGGCAACCCTTTAGAATAATAATAATAAAACTAACACAGTCACCTTGTCCAGGGCTTAAAAATATCAATAATACTGAGAAGGGGTAACAGCTGTAAATCCCGATTGCTTTTTTTCAGTACCTAACCAGCAGTCTTTCAATTATTTTCTCAAAGACCTTTGAAAATGTTAGTAGGATACTTATAGGCTGAAGGTTCTCAACTGTAGCAGAATTCGCGTCCTCTTCCATTCGCTAGGAAATTCCAATTTGTCTAAACAGAAGTTTATGACATAGCTTCATATGTTATACCACCCATTCTAGTAGCTTTGGTTTCAATATTGTTAATAATTTGAAGTATTTAAATTTATTTTGCGAGTTGAATTTCCGTGATAAAAAATGCAGCCTTGATCATGCATTTTTTTTTTTATAGAAAATCTTACAAACGGTAGTCACCCCGTCAGCGATTTCGATAGAAACAGACATACGCTGAGTCCAAACAGGAACACATTGGTCATACAGGGCGTGCAAAGGGTAAGGGCTCGCGCCGCTTTTTCAATCGTTGGCTTGGTTTGTTTTTAATCAGCCGATTTTCTTCCAGCAACCTTCCCAAAGGCTCGTGAAGGTAAGCACTGCGGGAACGCACACAAAACGCATTTTTACGATGAGGTGAATTTTGTGTGGTCATCGTTCACAATTTTCCGTTCTAAGTCGCACAAACTTTACCCACTCACCGAAGGCTTCTAACATCCCGATTAACAGCGCGGTGTGTTTTATTTTTTTTAACTAACTTACCTAAGGTGGAGTTGGACAACGGTAATTGGAAAGAGGTCGAACGGGTAGAGCTCGATTCGTCCGAAAGGTTCATAGCGGAGGAGGTGAAAAATGTCCACGTAGCGAAATTGAACGAGCAGGCATCAAAAGAAAATGGTGTTGCCGGTGCGGTGGAAGCCAACGGTACAACGAACGGCAATGATAAAAACGCCTCAAAAAGCGACGGTAGCGGCTCGAAGGTTTGCCAGATCTTTCGTTTTCTTGTGTGTGTGTGTGTGTTATTAGTTTTATTTTTTATTCGTTTTAACATACTAAAATTGTACATCCAGATTTTCTCCCAACATCTGTGTTTAAAAATGAATCATTCTTCGCACCTCCTAATATTTCTTAAACAAATCATAATATGGAATTCAATTTGAAGTTTTCTACTACAGTTTCGGAAAATGCTTCGTATTGCGTAGAATATACAACGGCCGGGAAAATTAACGCACCACTTTTTATTTCATAATACTCATAAAAAATTTTCGTTTCTTAATTAAGTACACTCTTATTTTCATTTGATAAGAATATTAACACTAAACACACATTACAATTCAAAAAATAAAAAAATTACTTCAGTTAAAAATAATTAATAACAAATAATAAATTAATAATAGAATCAAGTATGGGCCTTATTTCGTTTTGATCCAAATAATTCTATATTTGGACAATATTACCAGTAAGCCCATTCAAAGTGTGAAGAATTAGGAAGTTCTTGAGAAAGCGTGTATATCATGACCCAAATATTCTCAATGGGGTTAAGATGGGGACTGGTTGCAGGCCAATCCATAGTTTCAATTCCAATCTCCAATCTCATTTCCTTTATATACGTATCTGCTGTTAAACTGCCATTATTAATAACCACCAAGTCAGTATGAGCAGTTAAAGATATTCCCAAAACACAACTGAGCCTCTAACAAATGATCTGGTGTTTTGGAAGTTACAAAGGGCATATCTTTCATTTGGTCTTCTTTAAACTCCTACGTCTATCTGAATTGCTGAGACAAAATTTGGTTTCACCTGACCACCTGTTCTAGCAAAATTTTACTTTGCTCTATGATGCTCTGGGGTTAAAGCTGGTCTTCGCGCTAGGTTTTTTGGTCTGAAATCAGGTTCAGCTAGCCGTTGAAGAACAGTATCAGTTGACATTCCATTTGCTCCCTGTGTATGCGGCAATCTTCCCGTCACAAACCGTTGTCTAAAAGCAGAGAGTTTTAAAAAACGGTCTTCAACTGGCGTAGCTAAGCGATGTCTACCTTGACTAGGTGGTCTTAAGTGTTGACCTGTCTGCTTGTAATGTTCGATCATTCAAATTTCTGTCCAATTTTTCTCTCTGGGCACGCTCTTGGGCAGTCAAATTTCTAAATTGGCGTTCCAAAGTGTTTATTTTTTAGAACATGGTACCTCACAAATGTAAATTTGCAGTGCAAATGATAAATTTGGAATGTATGTATGGTGGCTTACAATAAAAATAAATATTTTTATTTTTATATGAATTTCCAAAAATAATTCAAAATAATTTAATAGTGCTTTAATTTTGTTGGTTTGCTGGGGATCTTTTTCAGTTTTTCAGATATCCCAAATTAATTATATCAAAAAACAAAAGAGTTACAGCGTCGGTTATATAAGATAGGGCAAAGTCTATATGCATGTCTCGAGTAAATGGAAACCGGAACCATATGGGAAACTTTTTTTTTTGGAAAATAAATTTATTCTTTATAAAAAGTTCTGCATGATCTAAAATCTAAAATACACTCGTCAGATACCAATTTTTTTCACAAATAACAAATTTACCTAATACTACTTAAATTTCACAATATTGAAAGATATTAAAAAAAGTTGATAAGAACTAAAAATTATACAATTAGATCGTTTCTCTTTTGACTATTAAAGTTAGCACAACCTTCTGGTTTCTTGATGTTTTTTAACAATTTTGCATTTATGGATAAAATTCTAATACGTTTTGACGGTTCCTGTTGTTGTTGTTCTCAAATGTTCCTTAGTTTGTCGGTGCATCCTAGATTATACGTAACTATAGTAAAATTTGAATTTATTATACCTAGAATGGAAGAAATTACATATTTGAACGTAGTTTTTAGTTCTGGTAAAGGTTTTTTTTATATTTGAGGAAAAATCATATTTTTTAACAAACCCAGTATACTACTGGAATTCTAGATTTTAGACCATCCAGATTTTTTTATGAATAAGTTTTACTCCCTAAAATTAATAATAAAAAAATGAGACATATTGTGCACTGGGTGTGTATTGTATTACGCGACGATACTTTCTTTGAGAAGCTATAAAAAAGTATTAAAAAAAAACTTAGGTACAAAAGTTGTTTTTATTTTTTTTATAAAATATTGTATTGTTATAATATACAGGAACTTCCCTCTAACCTTTGAAAACCGATTTCATATATAAAATCCTATTACCGTTTCTGACATTTTGAAGTTTATATGAAAAGTGAGGTTTTCAGGTCTCAATATTTCTATTTATTTTTTCGATTCATAGCCTTTGTTATATATGTTTGTATCATCCGAATATCCCCCAAAGTACATACTCCCATGTTAAATAGATTTTTAATAATGAATAAGAGTCAATATAATTTAACTTCATCTTTTCAAGCAAACAATAAAAGATTAATTAAAAACATACAAGGTAATTTGCGGTGGGTGGCAGGTTAGACTTTTATGATGGTCCATCGGTCTTATATTTTCAGCGATGCGCCGCTTTTTGTTACGTTCCTTTATTAAACCATTCTGGAAGACAGTTAAAAACGCCTTCAAGTGTCATGTAATGTTCCTATACCAAAATATTGTGAACAATATATTTGCCTTAGGTAACCATGAAACTGTAATGGATTATTATTAATAGTTATACCGTGGAAGTTTCCAGTAATCAGTAATATTTAGGTATAGGAACATTTTATTTATTTATTTCAACGGTGGCAACATTTTACCTATAAAAAGTATTTTAAGAATTTAAATATCTTATAACGATATACAAAATAACAACAATCTAATATCACTATAGATGGCAAATTACATTTCAGTTCGACACACGTATGGATGAAATTTGAGTACAATGCTATTCTATAAATTATTTAACAAAATATGCCTTAACTTAATTTTATAACTATTGAAATAATCACAGAAAGTTTCGATATTATATTTGAAAGGCCTTTTAATTGTCTTTCAGTGGTGAAATTTTCATTATTTTGGTGCCCACCGGTATAATCGAACATTTCGAACGCCCATGTTTATTATAGAGTAAATTTTAAAAATGAAGTTATTGCATGGGACTTTCGTAAATTGCCCGTTATAAAATCAAATATCGCTGTAATAACCACTTATTTGGAACTATATTTTGAATAAAAAAAATAATTTTCTGAAACTGGCCAAATATAGGTGGAGAAAGGTATATAACCAGAAATTAATGGCCGAACGGAAAATCGAAAAAAGTAATAATATATATAATAATATATCGGGTGCTTCACATAAAATATCAAAATTGATGCTACTTTTCCGGAGAAGCAGGAGCGTCGTAAAAAACAAAATTACTATGTATGCAAAACAAAAAAAAACAAAAAATGTTATTAATTGGAAATTCATAAACTAGGGAGTTGAAATACGTTTCTCTTGAAACAAAAGTATCAACGTTGATAACTTTGTCAGCCAGGTGATATTTCTACCACTGCCACTCACCAAACGCAGCAAAATCAGTCGGACTACGATTTCCGGGGCAGACCGCGAAAGCGAAGAGATTTCTTCGGCACAATCAAGAGAAGGCTGGGCAAGTCCAAGAATCGTTCGAAATCTGCCGGACCAGAGAACGACGTAGGACGAGACGATTCTCTGAATCGTTCCGTTTCCGCCGACAGAGGGCACAACCACGACGAGAGTAAGTACTAGATAGCCCTCTTATCGCCTTTCCGAGACACCAAACTAAAATGCCAGGTTATCGGCTAAACGTACCTCTTGGTCGATCCACAGAAGAAACGTCTCGAAGGTCTAGTCTATCGGAAGCTTCCGGCTTAAGTAGCGCCTCCACCCGCACTTACGTGAACGAAGCCAGCACCTTGGTGCTGGAAACTATCGAGAACGGCATCAAGAAGCACTACCTTGTGCCTCTGTCTCTCGCTCAAAAGTCCCGATGGAAAAAGAAGGGGGTCAAACTTCATATTTTTAACGATCACACCTTTGTCGCCAAACATTTGCAAGGGTAAAAATGTAGGAGATTGTGTTATCACAATGGAAACTATAATAAATCAATTTTAGGGGCACCGTGTGTCAAGTGTGCGCCAAGACCATAGCTAGAAGGTTCGGCAAGCAGGGCTACGAGTGTCGCGATTGTATGCTGAAATGTCACAAACAGTGTCACGTGAAAGTGAACGACAACTGTCCTTCGTCGACCATTCACAACATTGAACTGTAAGTGTGATGATTAATAATTTCCGAGTACACATATATCTCACAGTATTTGTTTCTATGGATCGATGCTCCCCGTATTGAGCGAGTAAAGGGGTAAGAATGAGTGTTCTTAAAAGCATGCGACGTTTTTTTTTTGCTTCCTGCGTTTCAAATAAGTGCCTGTTGAGTGTTTCTCACAGAGAAATTTAAAAAAAAGAGAATCTCCTGCTATGCTATTACTTGTCACAGCGTTTGACGTCACTCGATACTAGCGACTTCATGTTTTCAGAGAGAACTAAATGAAAGCGTTGCATTTAAATGTCAGCAATCGATTGCTTATAAATCTTATTATAAAAAAGCTTCTAATTATTGATGAATTCGGATTTATTTTAAACAAACTTCAACTTCAACAAAAGTAGGAAACGAAAACGAACTCTTATTGAATACAAAAATAGATATGGACAAATCTGATAATGCGACAGATATTGTACTCTATTAGTTGCAGTCATAGATTTTTTGCATGCTTCTTTTGATTATGGTATTAACATCCATGACACCATTTTCTATATTTTTCGTTTGGCTTCTGATATTCCGGATTTTTTCATATTCATTCTGCTTGTAGGCTTTTACATTGTTGAAAATTGTTTTACTTTTGACTGGTTGATTCTGGGTGGAGGTTAAATATTCCACAAAGGATATTTATATTTATTTATTTATATTGGATGGTTAAATTTAAATTCGTTTTTTCTTTGAGATAATAGGGACTTTTTACAACTCTTATTTTGGTGTTGTTTTACTTTATTCCTTTTGGAAGCTTGCGCACTTGATGAAAATTAAAGAAAGTTTTTCCTTGTTCACGGATTTAATGTTCAACGGTACCAAGGGCCTTACTAAAGTTAAAAGCGCAGGCGGTGTTGTCAGTAGTAATATGATACGTTTTGAAAATAGATTTGCTTTTATTTCATTGTACTTTTACTACCTTGTGAATATTTTTTATTTTACTAATTTCTGTTTATTCTAAAAGACATCTAAGGCACCCACAACATGTAATATCGTCATACCAAAAAAGTCGTTTTTATGATTTTTCGAAAATGCAAAATATTTTCGAAGTCGAATGCGGCTTGGCAATATTGATCTAGTGCTGCTGATGGAAGCCGAAATCCTTTTTTAAATCCTAATATGTGAAATATAATCGAGGTTCATGTTAGATCAAAGGTCTATCTGGAACCTGATTGAGATATTGTACAAAAATTTCTTAGAAATGCATTTTAAAACTTCATCAGACATATTTTCCATTTAACCTTTTAAGGTAACATTAACAAAAAAGGTGTAAAAACCAAAAATGTTGAATTCAAAGTAGGGGTCACGAAAAATTAGATTATAACCACAAAATTTCCAATTTCTCGCGAAACTAGCGACCCCATGAATCCTCTTTTTTTTTAATTTCTCTATGGTGCTCGTTTTTCGTACCCTTCCGTAATCTAATTAAGTGCTTATTTCCAGGTCCTACATCACCAATCCCTACAAGGACAAAAATTTGTCATTGCTGTGAAAATTTCTTCAAATTTTGCGACGTTTTTCAAATATTTACTAAAAATTGGGTGGCTAGCGTGCACAAACTGTTCTTAAAACAAATAGCTTTACACCTGTACTACTGTGGTTAATATTTTTTTATTTTTTAAATTTTATACACATATATCGCTTTTTTGTTTTTTACTTAATTTATATTTCTAATTGTTATTTATTTCTTTATTGTTACTACTCCTGTTCGACAAAATTTTACTCAAGCCCTATTGCTAGGGGTTCTTATAGTGCGTCATGAGCCCATATCTCATCAAGAATCTCAAATTGGACCATTCGCTACACACGTATTGTTTTCTCTCGTAGAGAAATCATAACTGATGGTCCATATTCAATCTAACAGTTTGCCTTTGTTTTTATATATGATAACTATATTAAGATTTTATGAAGTATTTCGAAATGTTTTAAACTGTTTTCGTTGTTATTTCATTGTTTTTATAAATATGAGTTTATGAATTTTAAAATTCTCGTCTAAGTGCCTGAGGAATCTCTTAGTAGGTTTGAACTCATTGTTTCGCATCTCGAAATAAATCATCACACCTTTTATTAAATAACTTAAAATTTTGCTATAAATAAAGATGTTGGAAAAAACTTTTGCTTTTATTTTGTTTCCCTTCTTCCATCTATGAACCCACTTGAAAACAGAAAATGCTTCGCTAAAATTCGTAATTATAATTAGGAGGAAGACACCAACCAATACTTCGAGGAACCATTACTGGTTGTCACAAAAGGCAAATACATTTTGGGACACAAGAAAACTGAAATTGTCCCAAACCTGTCATGGATTTCCAAATTGTCCTGAATTAGTGGTATAGTTATCCCTTTTTCCATGCAAATAAGTGCCGAAAGTAGGGACACTTATTGTTTGTCAAATTTTCTGCATTGATGAGAAAAAGTAATACTTTTGGTAAGTATTTTTGCAAAGGTCACAAAATTTTAACACCATAATAGAAAAAAGGCTCTACGGAAGTTTTATGACTCAGTTCATAGGTTTGAACAAATTCCGCTCTGCAACATGATTGGTAAGAAAAGGATTATGAAAATAATAACAATGCTTACGTTATTATTATTATTAAGTAGTTGAAAGGTACTAAATCTTTTTAACAAATACAGCCACCAATTATATGAAAATTATTTTTCAAATCATTACCAACCGAGCACACATAACATAATGAATTACCTATGTAACCTATTAACTAAGTGACGATTTTATTTTTGAATAATTCTAGGCTTAACGCAAAAAATAACTAAAGCATATATTTTATACACTTACATATTTTAGAAAATAGCTTAACAGCAGGTTTCCTTTTATACAGAGCTTCCAACTTAAAAAGATATAACTTTCATATACTATCATTTTTGTCACACCTTGTATATAATTATGTGATATTAAATCCACATATTAAACACTACAACTCTAGTATTAAACTTTTTTTTTTATAATGGATCACCACATGCAATTATTAGGTGCATACCTGCAAGCGTACTGGCTCAAAACATAAGAGACAACATATAAACTGAAATAAAGCCACAAAACAGCTAAATCATTTTACACCTATACCAATCATCACACAACAAATGTAAACAGTCTGAATTTCAATTAAACTTTTCAGAAACTGTTATTACAAATATTCTGAAATATATATTTACTCTCTTCATTAAAAAAACACGAAGGAAATCAAAAAACTTCCGATTTTCATCAGCTGATTTGCGTTATCTCTCTTTTGTCGCCACGATATCTCACTCTACACTCCACCAAATCCATCGTTCTCTTGTTACACCCATGGGATTCCAGCAAATAAGCACACAAAAATTAACTTTTCTTGTCAGTTTGTCAAGTCTGTGTTCTATTCCTTTGTGGTCTGTGCCACGACCAATGCAAAGCTAAATTATTCTTTATTTATGTTTCAAAAATTCTTATTTCAGTTTTAGGTAATGTGATATTTAATTAATACTTTGCTTTATTTTATTCACCATGAGTGAATATAATCCATATCTATTCTAAATCATTCTGTCATAACTGTTTGAACTTCCCTCTACTGAGGGCGAATGCGATTGGCAGAAACACGGGCTGGTCAAATTGCATATGTCATGGCGTTGAGAAGTTTTGTTGCGAATGTCTAAAATGTTTCGGAGTATTTATTCCAATGGGGATTTTCATTTGTAGCGCAAAAATTAGCTTAGTAGTAATAAAAATATAGTGCAGTCTTCGAAACCAAGTGGTTGTGATGTTGTAAACGCGTCTAATACTAATCAAACACTGGAAAATGTCAAGGTAAGTCTTGATTACCGATTATCACATTAACATTTGTTATTAAGTTTTTCGGCAATTTGTAAGCTTTTGCTGAGTAAACAACCGGTTATTTCCCAATTCGACTATTCAGAGGAATGTTGTTTAACATTGTGGTAAATTTTGAAGAGTGTGCGGTAATTGTTATGGGGTTACTTAAAAAAAGGACCAAACCTTTCTGTGGAGACCATTCTTTTGAACGTGACTTTTATGTTTCCATTACGCATTTAATATAGTCAGCTGAACTTCTGTTTCATTAATTTATGTGTGCATTTATCGATTTTGATCGAATTGGGTGTGTTTTGTGCATACCTAGGAACGATCCCAAGAATGACTAAGTGTAATTTCCATTCTACACGTTTCTATGTCCTTTGGGGGTTTAATTCTGCTCTATAAATTTGCTAAACGCAATTGAATGGGGGAATCATATCTCACGGAAATTGCTTCTTGCAGTTTTAATTTTTAGGGCATTGAAAGTGAAATTCAAAGACGAAGATACCTATTTCCTCATTCCTAACAAATTGCAACGTTGTTTTTAAACAATTATTCACGTGATTCACTTAGTCGGAAATGTCTTTCCGCGGAAATGTACACTTAGAGCACAATGACTAAATTATAGACAACTTTAACTTGCTGAATACTTAGTATAAATACTATTATCTAACAATATTTTTGTAAACTCGACTATGACGAGTTTAAAAAATATAGCTGATGCGTTCCAATCGTGTAATCGAATTTCCTCCAGCTCTACCTTGAAGTTTCCCTTAAAGCTTACTGTTGAAAATTGGGTTACCTTTTCTTATATGTTTCTTACATATTTCTTAAAAGCTTTCAACAAATTTAAATTATGGTAACTGTTGGTGGTTTAGAGACCAGTTATCACAGGAATTTAAGCAGAAAAATTAAATGAAAAAAGTGCGGTGCCAAAGTAATTTTCAGTTATTTTCGGATTGCAGATTCAAAAACCCAACCGTTTTTAATTTTCAGCTATTCTGAAATGAGTTCCAGTCAGGAAAGACGAAGGTAGTATTTTCATGGCGGCTGCATTTGTTTCCTTCATTGTATTGTGTTAGGCTCTTTGGTCAATCATTCGACTATGGACTGGAATTTTTTATTATTTAACGCTTGAGAATGCTCCACTCTAAATGTTTTCTTTGACCTGTCTGCATTTAACTACCTACTTGCATCAAGTTTTAATTTATCGTTGCACGGGCTTTTATGAATATTTCATAGCATGTCGGCAGAAGAATTTTGTTAGCATTTAGCCTCCCAAAATCGTATGCAAAATGAGTTTAGTTCGGTGCCGAAATATAGTATTCGACAGCGTTATCAGCAAAATGCACGCGTTTCCTCTTCCTGTCTATATTTATATAATTACGTAATTTTTGGTTGAACGTGTTTATAAGCCCCGAGTAGTTCAATTTTCCTTAAACTATGATTTATTGTTCGAGCTAAACATTAACCAAGCATTAAGGATTGTTATAATTTGTTTTTCCAATAAAGAAAACCTTACAATTAGGGATCATATCTGACGAATACCGACGGGGACACTGATGAATACTTTTGTGGAATAAGCGAGGGTAAATCAATATAGTAAATTTTTAAAAAATTGTATCGTGGTTAGAAAGATGCGTAATTTACGGTGCTATAACCAACCACGATTACTAATTAAAAAGATTTTTTTAATAAAGTTTTAAGATTAGGAACACAGGATGCTTGGAAATATCCATTTTTAATTAGTTCTAGCTAGTTTTGTACGACTTCCGCTTAGTTTTCATTTTCCGTTTCCCGAGAAAATTGCATGATGCTTTCCTTCAGGTCTCCCCATCTCTAATTTTGATTGTTTCTTTCCACTTTCTAACGAAGGGCCACCATGAGATACCCTGTATATACTTTGTCAGAAAACGATCTTAATAAAAGTCTGAAGTCTGGAATTTAAGTGATAAACATCGATTCTACATTTAATTTTACTGAATGGAGTAGTTAATATGTTGAAACATTTCTCAGAAGATTGACTGTGAAATTGTGAAAAATGTTTGAAGAAGTTATTTTAAAAATAATAATAATAATAAAACAATCGACAATAACTTAAATGAAATACTAATTTCTATTTAAATATTGATAAAAAAGATCAATCAATCCATATTAAATATGATTGTTACTGACTGACATTCCATTTTTGTCAAATAATAATTTTCAAATATTAAATAACAGTTTTTAACAAAGTCTCGGTCTACCTTCAAATATATTATCTACAATGAGGGTTCATCATCATTGCCTGACTATGAAACCACGTTAAATGATCTAAAATCTATCGTTTTTGAGATGTTGGGTGACAAAATTTTATTTTTATTTTTTCTGCATAATTTAAAAAAAAAATAAAATTAAAATATAGTAAAAACTGGTATGTAATATTATTAATACAAAAGTTGAAGAATTTTAAACGGAATTCATAACAAAATTTAAAATAAAAAAAAAGTTTTAATTTTCGTGCCTTTTTGAGCCATCTTGTAGACTTTAAAATAATTTTTAATTGTTCATCTTAATAATCTTACAACTTTTGTATTTACCATTTCCTCATAACTTTTGAAACCAATGAGAGAATGAACTTTACTCTCTCGTTGACTCACTCTGAACAAATCGCAGAGGGTGGATCTTTAATTAACTAGAATGTGAGTTGGTTTTTGAGATACAGGGCATCCAGAAAAATTTCTTGCTTCTTTAATCATATTTTTGTTCAGTAATATTACAGTTAGACGAAATTCCAGATACAGGGTGTATTGATGAGGATAAACCGATATATTGACTTAATCTTTTCATTTAATGTTAGAGGCCGCCATATACTTTGTTGTTCCTGTGTGTGTTATTCTTTGTGTTGTGTAGAAAACACAATTATCAGTAATTTATCTGAAAGTGTTCAAGAAAGAAACTGTCCAAATTGTGATGCATGCCTATACTTCCGCTCTTATGTTAGTACGACTCATTTTTTTTTTTTTAAGTTCTGGAAGGCTATAACTTACTAAGCTGCGGAAGATTTTAAATTGATTGCGCAAAATTCAGAGGTTTATATCGTAAAAAACATTTAAATTTGGTTGGGAGCGGGGGGGATTTTAAATTTTTGGAACGTTATATTTAAAAAAAAAGCGCAAATTTTAATATTGGTTGTGCATACTGCATTAATTCCAATGGTACAAGAAAGTTTTAATTTGGTTAGTTCTGGTTGATTGAGGTTCTCAGGAAGGTGCCATTAAAAAGATAGTTTTAGTATTTTATTTCAAAGATGGGCCCGAAATTTCGTTTGTCTTGTGCAAAATGTGTACGTTATTTGGATATTGTTTATGGCGGCACCGAATGTATGGGTGGCTGTAGCGGGTGGGGGCATTCCATTCAGTGGGAGAAATTTTACTCCCTAGAGAGATTTTAAGATTTCTAATTTCTATAATTTCGTTAAAAATAAAAAGGCCGTTTTCTTGAAATCCCGGAATGGAAATGAACCAGCGAGAAATTTTTCAACAGACATATCCACCAGTTAACGTCGGTAATTTTATTTCACCCCCAAGGTATATTATTCAATGATTTGAACAGTCAACTGACGAAGAAAGCGTGTATGGTCAACGAACTGTAGTGGTCCAATAAGTAGTGCCACCATTACACTTTATTACCGTACACCTAGATAGATTTCTCGCTCGAGAGTAAAAATTTCCCTTTTTTTTACAAAAACTTTTTGTTATTTGTCTGTTCTCTAAAATTCCAAAACAGTGACCCAGAACTCTCAGGTGATTTTTTGATTCTGAGTTACGATTTAAATCTTCAAAATCATTGGCCCCACAGTGTCAAATTACATCTTGCCTGAAACTGTACATTCATCATATATCATATAAAATTTTAAAACATAAATTTACCTTCAAGGGTGAATTATTGCATCAAATAGTGTAAAAAATAGTTTTATAATAATGTAATTACACCATTAAATGATGCTAAAGTCATGTGTATTTACAAAATTTTACCAGTAATTTATGGTTTACAAGTATTAAGACCGAAGTTGTTTTGTACTTATGCTGTTGCTATATGCATAGTTCAATCTAATCACATCTGTAAACCCATTAACTGTTAATCGGTGTTTAGTACTAAATTTCTTTACGAATTTTTTTTGCTATAACACATAACCGCCATCAAAACATCTGATTCGTCGCTATTAACTTTTATTACTCTATGTATAACATGCATAGACATAGGCAGAAACAGAAACATATTTATATTACTTACCTGACTTACTGTTTCAACAAAATTCAGCACACATAATAGGTTCAAATAATAATGGCCAACACCACACCGGCCGGTTTGTTGCGGCATCACCTGGCCAGTAATCATGTTGCAAAATGCATTCATATTAGCAAATCACGTTTAATTTAACTTTTCCATTGTATTTTGTATTTTTGCAAAGTAAAGTTTATTTTTAGTATACTTTTAAATATTGAACTGAGGTGGCTTTTACTTGATGAAAATCCATTTATCAAAATAAATAAGAACTAAAAGTTCAGATTTTCACGAAATTATATATTATGACATCACAATTGTTTCGACAACACCGTGTCTTTATCAAATGTAATATTTACAAACTACCTGCTACTATATATACCGAAAAATGACCATTAAACAAACCTTAATTAATGTTGTTCCGAGAACTTAAGTTCAATAAAGGAGATATATTTAAATCTAATTAATCGTTAAGCAATACATTTGAATGTCTCATTTTGTTAATCTCCATGGCTTCTAATAAATTTAATTTTCTACATTTTGTGGCTGTGTGTAATATATCAAAATTGTCGTCAAAAATGTGTTTTTCTGTGTTTAAGTGTGTAGCATAATTAAAATCTACACTATTGTTTTTAAACGCTCTTATATGTTCGTTAATGCGTTTCTTGAAGGTTCTACCTGTTTGTGCAATATAAATTTCAGGACAAGATCCACATTTTAACCTGTAGACCCCTGATTTTTGGGATTTTGGACATTTCGATTTATTGTTTTTTAAATATTTTCCTATTGTGTTGTTAGTTCTGAAAGCTATTTTTAAACCACATTTTGACAAATATTTTGAAACTTTTTCGCTAGGTTCTCCTATATATGTAATTGTTTTAAATTGTTCGTGTTCTGTATTTGGTTTCGGATAAATAGAGTTTACTGTTGTCTGTATTTGTTTTTTATTTATAATTTTATCTGTAATGGACGGATTGTAGCCGTTGTTCAGTGCTATTTGTTTAATGATATTAAGTTCTTTGTTGTAATTTTCTTTTGAGAGTGGCGTATTAAGAAGTCTGTGTATAAAAGAGTTAAATGCAGCCATTTTGTGTGTATAAGGGTGATTTGAGCTGTTATGTATGACTGTGCCCGTGTGTGAAGGTTTATGATATATTAAAAAATATAATTTGCTTTGCACTTTCGTAATCGTTAAGTCTAAAAAATTAATAGTAGTAATAAATAAATAATAAATAAATTCTTATCTGTTACTACTTACATGTCACTCAAATCCATTTTTAATCCCATCAAAACTCACGTTTTCGATTTCGAGTTCTAGTTCAATCCAAATTCGATTTGGAAAAAAACGGAATCGTATCGATATCGTATCTAAAATTTGTTCTGGAAGCGAACCAACGCAACCTCAAAATACGTTTTGTTTGTATTTTTAATTTTATTTTTGCTGGAAATTTTTAACGGCAAAAACTAAAACAAACTCAGTTTTATTGTCTCCGAAAATATTGTTGTTGCTAAAGTAAGCAGAAGTTTTTGACTAGAACTGGAGATTAAAATCCTCTTGGATGTTTTTTGTAAAATTTAAAACATTTAGACTATTTCATGATAAAAAAAAATGTGCTCATTTTGCAACCACTGAAAGCGCCCTATGTGTCTAATCTTATAGATCCTCCCTAGTTATTGATTTTTATTTATATTGGTTCAATAAACTTATTTTTTTGTTTGGAAACTATGTAGTTAGTATTTTCTATAATAATGTTTTATTTGTTGCTCAATATTTCGTGCCATCAAACCTGAATACATACATGTAGTACAACAGGGGTACCAACACGGAGCTCTGTGAAACCCTAAACCTATTGTTTTTTATTTCACTTGTAAATAAATACAATACATAATAATAATAAATAATACATAATCTTTCTTTTGGATTTCAATAATAACAACAAAGTTTATGGTATTGGCATTAAATCGAATATCAAATCACAAACAAATCAGATAGTTTGAATATCAAAAGTGAAACACTTTGAGAATTGCAAGAGGTTTTTTAAGTTAATATAATCAAAAGGAAAATCAGATGGGAAATCAGACATTGTCGACACACTTTTAGAGTGATTAATTTACTGAATCGGTTTTTAATATCCGGGCACCTATTTTTAAAGACGACGCGTTTAGTTTATACTCGTCGCTTAATTTTAACACATATGGTGCTATAACTAGCCTTGTCAAAACGATTCGTCTAAAAAAAAATGTATAGTTAATAAAAGTCCCTTTCACTAAATTATTAAGTTAACTTAAATTATTAAAATTCGAAACAATCATGTTTTCGTTAAATAAGATAAGGAAACGATTTTACGTTCTGTACCCGGAGAACGTGTTATTGTGTTATTTGAATCCTGTAAACCTTAAAACACGGCACGACAGTATGCAGCCAATTATATGCTTGCGTATTTTTCTGGACAAAGGACTGTTTTCAGTTGAGTTTTAATCAATTTTCTTATCGAATGTGGAAAAAGTTCTATCTATAACCACTCATGTATTACTCGCTCTAATTCCCTTTCTTATAAAATTGTAATAAATTCATCGAAACCCTTGCCAAAACATTGTTAGGCTTTGGGGGCGGGGGAGGTTAAGTTAAAAAAAAAACATATTTGTTTGTTGCCATGTAGTATTTGCCTTTGAGTTATTGCCCCCTCCATATTCTACACCACTATCCGCACCTTTAAATTTAGCACTATTTTATTTAATAATACTTTATATGCATATTAAATTGAACATGTCGAGTTTTTTAGACTCTTTGAGTATTGTAATATCAGGTTAATCACCTGCACTGACACAATGCTTTTGTTATTATTCCTTATAAGTGTGTCAGTTGCATGCCGAATATGCATTAAAAAATAAGGATTTCCTTTAAGATTTGAACGTGGCAAAATTGTTGGCGTAAGCATGTTTTTAGAAAATTTATATATTTTTAGTTTAAAGCGGCTTTATCTCTTAGGAAGCGTTATTTTATTTCTCGTGATGATTTTTGTAATAGCGCTTAATTGAATCACAGCGAAGAAAAAGCCGCATAATAATAATAGTAGAATATCAGAATGAGAGGTCCTATGGTCTGAGACGTTTTCCGCATCCAATTGTCTGTCGTACCGAGCAGTTCTATGATCAGCGCACTGTAGTGTTAGTGTTTTAGTGTCTTGGTAATCTGTCCTTGGTGGCCAGATCGCTGCATTCAGACCTTTGCGATAATCATACTCCACGTCTTCGTTTCGTCCTCTAAAAGAGCCATTTATGAAGTCGAATCTCTCACTAGTTCACCTATAGCTACTCTACTGTCGTTGGAATTATAGATATGCTTATCCGAATATCCTCTGTTGAGGTTCAGATGAGCATACATCAATTATCTAAGCTTGGAATACACCATACTTGCCTGCGAGCTGTACGAATACTTTCTACCGCGCCTAGTCATCCTTTGTAGAGATCCTCGCTCTGTATGGTGTGTGAAAGTCAAAGTCTATATCCTCTTCATAGAGAGGACATCTTGATTCCCCTCAGTCATAGCACTTTTCGGCTCCCCTCTGTCCTTGGTTTTCATTTTCCCAGTATGCAAGAAGCCTGTCCGGTCGCTCTAGGACTGCCCTAATGGCTTTGGAAGAAAACTTCTTTCCTATGCTAGTTGCTGAGTTGTCCGTGATACCCAAGGGTTCTAAATCACTGCCATGTAGTGTTAGTGTCTTGAAATAGTGCCTGCCTAACAAAATTATATTTTATTAGCTATTATTAGTATGCATAATAAATCGCATAATGTTTTTTTTTTGTGCAAAATTGTCGGAATAAAGTTGTAACTCTATCAATAACAGGGAACTCTTCTTTTTCAACAGCGAGCAGTCGATAGCGAGCGCGAGGGCGTCGGTAATGATCTACGACGATGTCAATAAAAAGTGGGTTCCTTCGGGCAGTTCTTCCGGTCTCTCGAAGGTGCACATCTACCAGCACAACGTCCACCAAACGTTTCGGGTGGTCGGTAGGAAGCTCCAGGACCACGAAGTGCGCATACCGACGGGCACGTTACGCGCAGGCGGTTATATTAACCTCGTTTCAGGTTGTCATCAATTGCGCAATACTAAAGGGACTCAAGTACAACCAGGCCACCTCCACGTTTCATCAGTGGCGGGACAACAAGCAGGTGTACGGGTTGAATTTCAGCTCAAAAGAGGATGCGGACTGTTTCGCTCGTGCCATGTTTCACTCGTTAGAGGTAAGATGTGTGTCTTTTTGCTTATTAAATTATTATCGCTGTTCGCGGTGTTGTTTCGTGACTATCATAAAAATGATCAAAAATGGTATTAACATGTTTAGGATAAAAAACAACCTTAGTGCGTGTATATTTATTCGTTCACATTGAATAAACGCGTTCTCATTGGTCGTGGAGTTAGTGCTCGTGTGGAGATCTTCCCGCCAGTTAGCAACCGCACAACCAGTTAAAGATTTTCATATTTGTATTATTAATTATGGCCTTATTCTAAACAATAATTCTTTTAATTATATAGTAACAATTATAATTAAAACAAATCAGTTTAATAAATGAAAAACAGTACATGTCTTATATAACAGTTAAAAGGTCTTAGTGCAGCCTCCAAGAATCCGGCTGCTAATGAGACCCGTAAATGTAACAAAAATACTTGTTATGATTTTTTGAAAGGAGATGGCACGTAAATATTATATTAAAGAAAAAAAACACAGTGAATAGAAACAGCATTGCCAGATCACTGCTAAACATTCTCTGATTTGATATCAGTATTTTAATATTTCCTAGAAAAAAGTTCATGCGACGAGAATGCATGAAACGCCCTGTCTACTTCTTATGTCATAGATAAATCTCAAACAGGCATTCTGAATTTTTGTAAATGCCTAGAATTGTAAGATTCAATAGAGCTACCATATACATTGTCACAAAAATTAAAGAGTGTGAAAGGTGGAGAAATTCACACAGTATTCTATTTACCTCTTAGTTCAAATAGTGCCTTGTGTGAGTATAAAGATTTTAGGGTGGAATATGGTAAAGCTTTACTAATTACTCCCACTTTCCAAGTAAGTTAGGAGTTTTTATGTAAAAGTTGTTGATCTAAATTGTATTAAAATTTAAATATATTTATTTGATAGTAGTAGTATTTGATAGTATTTTTAACTTACATTTTTTCATTACTCTTCCACTAGTGTCCTGGTTTCATTACTACACCAACTTACAACTATGTCTGTCTCTCTATAAAGTATTTAATCATTCTTTTGTCCCGCTTTGAGAATTTGATGTTGAAACATTTTCTATACTTCTTTTTTGTTCTGTCTGAACTACTCCGTCTGCTGCTCTATTTCTTATTCGCTTGTTAGTTCACCAGTGAAAATATGTGAAGCTGCAATCTTTCTCCTTCTGCAGCAAACCATTTTTTCTTCTGCGCCAAATTTCGTGGCACACTTTCAAATACCATGTGTGGATTATTTTTGGAAGTATTTGCCCATTGGCCGGCGACAAAACACCATTTTTTTTAACACAGTGTTAGACGAAATTCGGACCTTTTATTTGACCGACGCACGAAGTGATGTTCATAAACAGCATCGAATTAATACGAGCACTGACGTCACAAATCGCTAATCATAATTGCATCATATGGAAGCTATTAACATTAGTATTATTAGGTATTACTTTTGGTTAGCTGGTTTAGAAAATACTGGTTGAAAGAAATAATGCAAAATCTGACTGTTTAAAGAATTTCAAAGTGTCAAATTCCAACAGTTCCATAGTTTTGCTGAATAGATCCATAGTTTACTGGGTGTTGGCCAACAATTACCTATTGCACCGTTTTCCAATATTCTGGTCAATAATTATTCTTAATCGTGATGGTCGGCCTCGACTTAACTATCTGAAATCCGAAAAATAGTGGAACTTGCTATTAATAATGTCCCGCAAACAATTGACAACCGTGGTGTATTATTAAACTAATTGCATCCGTCCTAAAGTAAGCCCCTCGCCTTTTAGTTAGTTTGGCGCGTGATTTTGCGGCGATTCGATCATTCCGTGGTCCTTCACGATATTTGTTGAAATCTATTTAGGTGCTCAGCAACATAGTCAGACAACCGGCACCCGCCAATCAGCCGCAATACGCCCCGCCCGTTTTGCAACAGATACCGCAACAGCCGCCGCCGGTGCCGGCGCATCAGAACCAGCCGCCTCAGCCACCGCAAATGCCCCATCAGCAGCAGCAACATCAGTCTCAGTCGCATCACCAGGCGATGCAGCACCAATCGCCGCAACCGCCCCAATTGCCGCAACCCGCGGCGCATCAACACTATGACGAGGACATGGGCTACCGTACTATGACGAGGGAGGACGTCGCCATGATACAGGTGACATAGCCGAACCCATGGACAAATTAAAAAAAGAAAGGGACTTTAATGTTAGTACTTGTCACAGGGCTTAAAGAGAGAACTAAATGAAAGCGGACGATTTAAATGCCAGTTTCTCATTATTATGAGTTGCGAGGACTTAAATCAAAATACAAAAGAAGATTAAAGCATTTAATTAAATAATAACCAAAGCTGTTAGTGAATAACAAAAAATATCGACAAATCTGATAATAAAACACATTATCTACACTTATTAGTTACATACTTAGGTTTTTTGCATACTACTGTCATGTCATAGCATTTTCTATATTTTTCCTAACTACCTGCGATTTTCTGGGTGACTTTGCAAGTCCTTGTAGTTTTTTGGATTTTTGTAAATTCTTTTGATTTTGAAATGCCGATTCTGTTGGACCGAGAATTAATTAAAAGTGTCAGTCAGTGTCAGTATTTCATTAAGCATATTAATCAGAACAGGTGAAAAATAACATTAGGACAGTGGACGCCTCACACATTCTTATACTTTTTGAAAAAGACAAACAAAAATCAAATAAACTTACCCATATATACCCTCCTGCTGATATTATTTACAAAAGAAAATTCCACTCGTTTATTGTTTATGTGCTGGTTTGTGCTGTTGGAAAATGTAAGTCTCTATGCGTACAGATATTGGATAGGTGAAATTGTCGTTGGATAATACATTGATTTAATAACTAATGTATGCATAATGGAGTGCAGGGGAAGATACAACACGTTTCCAATTTTTTTTCGTGTTTTAGCATATGTGTTACTAAAACTATAACTATATATAAATAAAATTATAACGTAACTGGTATTTAGACTGTTTTTGTGGTGTGTGATTAGTGATAGTAGGTAGGAAACGACTTGTCTCTTTATGGCTTTAAATCTACTTATATTTGGTTCTTTGTGTTTTGGTGCATGAAACGAAGCGATATTATACTTTTGCAGATAGCTTTCTTTTACCTTTGTGGTTTGTTCTTCTTAAACAATTCATAGAAAACTTATTATTTTAAGGTTCCCAGTTGATAGTGATTTGGGCAAAATGTGTCTCATTAGCCACTAAGGGGGAAATTTTCAGCCTTCAGTTTCAGCTGCAATTTGTAGCAAGCCTTTTAAACCTACAGATTATGACAATATATTTGGTCAGTGGGCACTAAAACCCATATTTTTGATTTTCCAAACCATTTTTAGATAAAACAAACTAGAAAATGTTCTAATAATAGACCTCAGCATCACTGTTTTCAAATTTGAGAAGTAACCAATAAAAGTTATATCCCACCAATTCTTGAAATTACAAACTAAAAATAACTGAAACTAGCAATGTCCAATATATTTTAAAACTAAATAGCCCTATCTCTGTATTATACAAGTTTTTAATGGTTTGAAGTTCACAATTAAAAAATAGTATCTACACTGTGATTAGGAAAACACAAAAAAACTGTTCCTGTCTGCCTGCGTCGCTTGACAAAAATTTGTTATCGTCTAGGAGCGCAGAATATCCACCGCGTTGATGTCACCTCAGCCGACATCGCCGATGACCCCACAAAACAACGTGCCTACGCCGCCGGCCATGCCGTTGGGGGCCCCTAGCCCTGTGTCGCCGCCGCAAATGTCGAGCGGACACTCGCGAACGGTTAGTGCCCCGCCCGCGCCACCGCCGCCTCCTGGGCCACCGTCGACCGGCCTAACGACATCGGTGGCTGCGCCTCCGCCCCCTCCGCCGCCGCCCATGAATATGTCGCGGAGTCAAAGCAGCGACGGTGGCGAGGTCAACTCGTTGGCGGCCCAACTGCAGAACGCCAGGCTCAAACGTAACAACAAAGTAAAGCCAATGTTACCTTCAGTTAGCCTGATAAGTCTACTGCTACATATTGTAGTTTTTTTTTATGCTGAATGTTATTCGTTTTCAGCCAAGCATTTCTATGATCACCCCAATCAGTTCTTTCTATTGTACATACTTATTAACATAGTGAGCAACACTATTCACAAGAATCTAGATCTCCAAGTAATGTATGAATCGCTCCTACCTTCTGTCTCTTCTTCAAATTTAGAAGGTTTTATTTATTGGGTGCTGTGACAGCTTCCATTGGAAAAGAGTTCTACTGATATACCACACAATGTTCTTACATATTAGAATTGAATTCCTTTCTTTATTCAGTTTTGGTCTGTGTGTTCTAATGTTGGTATTATAGGATTTAGGATTTATTTTGTAATGTTTAATTAATTAATTAATTAAAAGTCCGTTATCCGAGGTGCACATTTGCACACTCAGACAGCATAATGACCCCATGAGAGGTGAACGACGTTTATGTCTGGTTATGCCTTCTTAAACAGTTCATGTGTTACAAAACCAACATCTTATGATCACATAGATGCAAAGGGGCATCTATAGATGTTCTGTGTAAACCTTGTCGTCTTATCGGTCAAATCACAAGACGCTAAATTTAAATTCAAATTTTTAATTTAACTAAGTAAATTGATTTTTAATTAAAAACTTTTCAAGATGAAATTTCGTCTATCTGTAGCTCTTGTTACCCACATTGCGGTGGCACTTTTGAGCACTTGTTTTGTCCGCAGTTTTCAATAAATATTTTTTGCACATAACTTATCTATTAAAATTTGTGCAATATTATATTTTAAGGTTTGTTGATTTCTTATTGAACAAACAAAGCTTCTCATTGATCCGCCCAATTTTGATAAATTCTTAATTTAAAACAAACGAAAAAGAAAACTATTCTAGTCAAATTATACATTATTATAAAGCTGACACAGTAGACAAGTTGTTTTGAAGCTTCTGAGAGAAACTCGAGTCACTTTCAGAGTTTGCTCCTTTAGCAAGCATACAGTTTTTGTATTTATTTATGTTTATATTCACATAAACTCGGAAATTGGACCACCGACATTGCCAAATCTAAGTTCTTCAAGATGTTGCCAAATATAACTATATATCGCATTCAGTTTTACTTGTTACTTAAAAAAAAAACATCTAAAAGTTGAAAACGGCCATGAAAAGCGATTAAACAAATTAAACACACATAATATGAATTTAAAATGCGAACTATTTAGTGAGATGGAGCTGTTGTCTAATTTAAGAAAGAGGGCCTCAAAAAAACACTATAATGGATGAATGTCACATGTTATGGACATCTTAAAAAAAATTCTTCAAGTCGTTTTTTGTTGGTCCACAGGTGTTCAACTAAAGTGGACACACAACTGTGGCTGATCTTGTGCCGCGATGTCTGATGTACATACCTAATAATTTTTTTTAGTCTGGTCTCTGCACATTGGTAATATGATGTCAGTTGTTCGTTTGTTTGTAGGACACTGTCTGTCTTTGGATGGGCTCTGGTATTCTCAGTCAGTCAGTCAGCGCGTGTTTTCTCTGCTATCCAGGTTTTGCTGGCTCCTCCCTTTTGACTATATTGGATCTCCAATTTGAGGTTGTTGCAGAAAATTTCACCAAAATCCTTCTGAGCAGATACTGGTTTAAGTTGCTTCCCATTGAGATGATATTCGTGGCGCGGATTACTATTTCCTTAGTGAACAATAGTACATTCATTTAAACGTAGCTGGCACCAGTCAGTTCAGTCCTCGCCATGCTGGATATCCTTGAATTTCTTTCTACTGGTTAATCGGACAAATGAATATCTTTATGTTATCCGTAAATAGGCTTATATTTGTACTAATTTTGGTCTGTAAGTTACTGATATTTGTTATAAAAAGCAGAGACTATACACACAGTCCGGTACTACCCACTTGCATTGATTTTGATAAACAACCATTTGCCGTACCTGATGGGATTTTTTTCCATATGTCAAGTTTAGTATAATAATTTTAAAAATTATAAATTATGTGGATTTTAATCACAATAAAACATTTGGGTCGCAGTGATGGATATCGTTATTAATAGGCGGTGCTTTAGATTCAAGTTGATTCCATTCGAACATCCCTTTATACATTTCCAGAACGGTATTCAGGCGACAGAAAACAGCGGTTCATCAACTAGCAGCGGGGGCAGCAATTACGGCACATTGGGTCGAGGCGGGGGCGGGAGCATGGCATCGATGATGGACGAGATGGCGAAAACGTTGGCGAGGAGACGAGCCGCCGTCGAGAAAAAGGTGCCCGACAAGGAGGAGGAAGAAAAGAAGGTCGCGATGTGGGAGAAAACGAACACGTTGCCTAGTAACACGTCCAAGTTCAGTTCCGAATCGCCCAAGAGTGTGAGGAAGCGGTTCGGCTCCGCCTCGGAAGAGACCATCCTCAAGGTGAACGGCCTGTCGGAGGTAGCGCTGTCGATAGGCCCGTCGGAGATCGAGAGTTTAAAAAACGAATTAGTCAAAGAGGTGAAAAAGGAGATCACCAAAATGAAACAGGACATTTTAGATGGTAAGTCAAAGTCAACATCACTAAACACAATAGAGTTGCATTACGCTCCATCTCACTTCAGTCCCCGAGACGTCCCTTGTTTCTTGCTTACATAGTAATAGGTTTAGTTTATTTAATTAAAAGTAAACATATACAGGGTGTTATTCAAGTGACTTCATACTCAAATATGAGAAAAAAAAGCTTTCAGCAGATTTATTATTTTGTTCTTTTAATGCCACGAAGAGTTACTGAATAATTTTGAATAATTATTGGTACAAGCCGAGGTACAAACATTGCTGATATAAATTCAATTTCTATAATTCTATTATTTTGAGTTCTGACCACTTTCCATTAGTTGAGTCATATTTAAATGTAAACAAATTAATTATGAAAATCTAGCACAACACACGAAATTTCGTGAAAATCTGAACTTTTAGTTCTTATTTATTTTGATAAATGGATTTTCATCAAGTAAAAGCCACCTCAGTTCAAATTTATAAATCTGTGAAATCTGAATCCAATGAAATCCGTGAAATCTGTGAAGCATATGGTTGTGTGAAATCTTGTGTATCAACTTTAGGTGGTGATTTGCCCCTCGATTCTAACTACTAAGCATTACTAAGTATTACTTTTTCTTGTAACACCGCAAAAGGTTCTTGCTTTTGACAAAATCACCAATCCACGAAAACCACAATCACTCACTATTAAAAAAAAAGACATGAAAAAGTAGTACACAAATTATTAACAAGTCAGTCAGTCATTTCGCAGTCATATGATCATATCATCCTTAGTTTAACGTTTTGTCGTGATTTTCTTTCAACTAGCTATGAGACTCCAGTTCATTCTAGATTGCAGTGCATTAATGATATGCTATTGTCTGGAGTTTCACTCAAAATAGCAGTACAGCTGTTGTGTCTTCTGACTAGATACTAAATTTTATCTCGTAAAATATTTTGAATTTCATGTTACAAAATATTTTGAATGTAAAATATTACAAAACGCCTGTGGAACTCTAAATATAGTAAGGTCGGAATTTTTTGTTTAATATATGCCAAATAGCGGCAACAAAAAAGCTTAAAAAAAAGGATGTCCGTTGGTTATTCATTTTTTATATACCGTTATTAAAGATTAAGTGAAATATCCATCGTTGTCAGAAGTTATTTCTATCACTTTTAAATAACTTCGAGAAATTGGTTTAATATATTGGTACCATTAATGTCGATTGTGTCCCTCAATTGCAACTTGAATAGTAGTGATCGGTTCTAGTACAACAAATTAGACGTCTAGTACTGTTAAAAATGAAATTAAAGCATTAGACACTCAACGTTGCCTTAATATTCTCAAGGTTTTAAAGGGAAGATAATCTTGGTAAAGAATAGTTTTAGACTAAGAACTACATCTTTTACTACAATTCCGTTTTGAAACTGAGCAATTTGCTCCGTATGATTTGTGTAATATTAGAGTGGAATTAAGATGGTTTATGTCTAAGAAATAATTTTTTATTTAACACCTTTAAACTGCTCTAGTCATGTTGATAACGAGAAATTCTAGCTACTGGAACTGACGATACAACAATTGGAGAAATTGATCATACGCATCATTTTTATTTTCGCATAATTTTATTTTCTTCTGCATTTTTTAAAATATCTTTAGCTAGCTTTTTTCTGTACCTATATTAGCACATGCTAAAGTGTTATGATTACTTAGTTTACCAAATTTAGTGTAGGCATTGGTTAAAAGAAGTAGATCAAGTTCGAGTCTGGACATAATCCCTGAAGGGATTGTTATTTATAGACCAAGAAAAATCTTCTGGAAATGTCCAGAACAAACAAACATCTTTATGCATTTCCGATTCCAGATTTATTGAAGTTGTAAGATAAAGTTATATTTCTTGCCATATTTTACCTATATTACCTAACATTATATGTACATTTATGTAAGTATTATTAAGTTAACATCATCGGGTATTTTTACCTCTACCTGTCACCCATTTCACTTTAATATCTCATTACTCGGTGTGCTGGGCAACCTGTTGTGTTTATTGATCAAAGTGAGGTCGGCGAAAGGTTTAGAATTAAAATTGTGTTTTTTTTTATTACAGCAATCAAAACCGAACTGAACAGGAGGTAATTTGACCATCCTCCCGATTTGATAGCATTTTTTTGTATAGTTTTTACACTACGACGTATGTAAGTTATTTAAGTGGAACCTCGATGACATAAGCTAGAGAACAATTACAACCAATTTGTAAGTTATTCTAATTGTATTTTAACGATATAAGGAGGGCCGTGCGCGGATTGAATTTTATCCATTCGAAATGTATGGAACACTTAAAGTTAACGGTCAAACTTTAGGAGCTCGGCAGATTTTGTTTGCCATTTAATTAGAAGCGCTCATTTTCGGCCTTAAAATAATCAAATTTTTGCAGCCTGTTTAATTATCTGAATTAAGTATTCGTCAATGCTTATAATCAAGAATTAAGTTGAAAGAATGGGCGGGAGGGGGGTTGAAGCATACTGGATCTTGGTCGCGATAAGGGCCCACATTTTTCTGTTCGCATTTACTAAGTTCTCAACATGTAATCAAAATTATTAAAGAAACATTTCTTGCAGGATGCATTTTCCAGAATATTAATTCGCTCATATCGCGACCCGTCCCGTATAAAAAAAAACAACAAAAAGCTATTGTATAATTAGTATTTATTAAGTTAATTTAATCCTGTCGATTAGGGTAAGTGACTTTTATAATTTTTAAACCTCGCATCGAAAAGAACCCAAAGGATTTTTGTAACGAACGCCCCCTCTCCCCTAAAGTTATTAACAAAGACTGATGGTGCGGTATTTTTCTTTTACTGATTTATTCGAAAAAGTGCGGACAATATAATTTTCTTTGTTTTTTTTCTTTTTTGGAAGAACAATGGCTGCGCAATTTCATCTGTAAATACCTATTCATATTTTTTTTTCATTCGTTTCAGCAATAGCTAGTGCCAATAGATTTCAACCAAACTACGCGAAAATCGGATACATCGAATTTTATGTTTGCTCCCCTTCTCGTTATCCAGGGTGTCCCAATAGCGCGTCGCAATTAGAAAGTTGCAGTTGTGATTATAACCTAAAACTATCTTCACGTGTAGAGGAAATCCTGTAAACCCATAAAAAATAAGTTATGTTTCTTCGGATCAATTCTGAACATATTTTGTATAACATTATGCTTGAGCTAAGTTTGTTAGCTTTTTTTATATTCGCCACTTGACAAATGTGCACGATTTAATTTTTTAAGGAGGATTGCCATTGTTGGCTGAAATCATTAATGAAACTATGTTTTAGCTTTTGTTGTTAATTCGATAGTTCCATTTTTTGCTTCGGGCTATTCCTAACAGATTTATTAGATTTATCAGAAAATTCCATACCTATATGTCATAGTTTTCAAAATATTTCCATTTTGTTTTTATTAACTAAGTGTTTTGTAACAATGTAACAAAATACAACTTTAATAACAAATACTTATGGAAAGAAGTTGCAAGTATTATTTTTTATCAGTCAGTCAGTAGTGTTGTCATATACACCCAGGTGCACGTGCCGCCAGCCGCCACTGATCACTCATAGCAAATTATCAAAAGAATACACACTGGTTAACGGACATTAAGAGTTTTTGCTATTTAAGTTGAATTTTATTGTAATAAAAAAAGAAGTTACAATAAAATCACAAAAACTGCACGACTTGATAAATTTTTGAACAGTAAGAAATAAAAAGCATTGGGCATTTCATTTAGAAAATGGATACTTGGTTTTTGTTTAAAGAATAAATCTTGCACAGCATTTGTCAAAAGACAGTTCAATTAATATATATTTTTTGGGATTATCAAAAAATAATTAGATTTAGTATGTGTGTTATACAAAATATGTTTAGGGGGTGCCACAAGGAAAAACATAACCATACTTTCTTGTGCACTGTTGTCCTAATTATAATATTTATTAAAAAAATCAACCATGATATTACAAAAGCACGATAGCAGTAAAGAAAATAGAATGAAATGATAGGCAAGGAGACGCAATGTCACCAAAGCACATAATTGGAGCCTAGATGGAATCAGACTATTCCACTTGTATTACGCTAATGATGTACTTTTAATAACGCATAGCAGGCACTAGTTTTGAACTGCGGCACAGAAACAGTAACACTTAAGACCAGTGCTTTGAAACTATGAATGAAACGATCTCTGCTGAGAGTACCATTAACAGATAGGATAAGAAATTAAGATACATATAATACAAGTCACAGATGTCATAGTTACAGCCTCTGAGCTAGAATGGAAGATAGAGTCATAGACTTATTGAATTCAGACCTAGAACAGCTAAGAGAAGTAGAGGAAGACTACCAATGCAATGATAAGATGTCACAAGAATGGGAGGGGAAGTCTGTGTGCAGCAGTGGAATTGAAAAAATGTAATGATGACCATGAAATAATTTTAGGTTATGCACCTGTGCGACTCTCTATTGCCGTTTCCAAACTATCAAGCACCGTCGTCCTAGTGGACACCGTGTGGACGAACGATTTCATCTAAATAATGTTGAGGATTTAATAAATTTTAACATTTTTCCATTTATTTCAAAACATAGATTCGTTGGAAAAACGCGTATCGACTTCAAAATTCAATTTTGAAATAAACAAAATCTTTGTAGTACGCGCATAAAAATTGCAATGATAATGACATTTTCTTTTATATTTATTTTTTTCTTATGCGTTGTGCAGTTCTCTTTCATTCTTTCTTTTTTTTTTGATAATATAATTTATAAGACGTACAATTAAACCAATATCGAAATATCGGAACAACAAAAGAACTCAATCATAATTATGCAATATGGTATATCTAACATACAACGCGTTTTCGGTTTATAGGCACTCGCTGTGTTACATTAATTTTATATGGTATAACTTTGTGATATATGCATTTAATTATATTACTATAATATAACGCACGGATTTCTTTTTCTTTTCGAAACGTTATTTTTTATGTGATCTCAAGGAAGTCAAAATTGTGGCCACACAACATTTCGTTCGGCTATTTATTATTTTACGTGTCTAGTATTTGTAACCAAATTTTACGTTTGTGTAAATTGAAACTTTACTATGTAATTAAATAAAAAAAAACAGTATTTAAACGTGCACCCCGAACATTTTTATTATTGAAATATCACAGGCAATGTTGTTCCGCGACGAATTATTGAGACGCCTCGAACCTCGCACACTCTTCGACGAAATGTCTGAAATAATATGACGTCAGCATTGGTTGTTAATAAATTGAAGTGAAGCGTTACTTGACGTGTTGCGGTAGCTCCGGGGCTTTCCAAAGGTTCATGTGTCTGTAGCCCAACGCTTCATATATGTGAAGAATAACTTTACCCTGGTAAGTCCCGTTTCTCTTGCTATCAGCTATTTGAGAGAGCTAAAAATACCAAAAATTACCGCCAAATACTTCGAAAAATAATCAGGACAAGGTATTGGTTGGTGTACCGCGAAATTTAGTGCAGAAGAAAAATAGAAAATTGTGATGTAAAAAAATGATAAAAGAGTGAAAATATATAGTGGTGGAAAAAAGTATGGAAACTTTTAATAATATTTGTATTAAAATACAATAAGAGACATACGCCACTGCTATACCTTTATACCACGTTTAACAAATGTCAAGCAATTTTTGCTATGTTTTTTACTATTTGACTTTGTGGTTTTATAAAGGTATTTTAGTCATGATTCTACTGTGCTCATCCTATTTTCAGACAAAAAATTGATTTATTTTAAAAAATGCGGTAAGTGCAAAGTCGTATTGATGTGAGAAATGCGTGCAAGTTGGCACGTAAAACAAAATTACTTTCAAACTATTTTAAGAATATTGAAACTGGACCCCCGCAAATCATCGAGGCAAATTAAAAACAAAATGTCTAGCGCATAGAACTATAAGAAACCCAATGCCTGAATTGAGTTTATGAGAGCTCATCTGCCTTGGATAAAAATGGAATACGGTTAGTTTTCCAGAAAAAGAGATGCCATTGCGATTGCGATTTCAACATCCCAATCACCGAAAGACGCATCCAAAATAGTTGAACGGGTAGTTTAGAGAGGAAAACCTAAGTGTATTGTACTGAATGACCATCCCAATCACGATTTGAACCCCACTGAACATCTTTGTCATGTCTTGAACTGGCGTATTCAAATGCATTCCAAAAACACAAAATTCTTTATTATCGTGGAATCAGAGTACTCGCAAATTCCTGCAGAAACTACAAATATTGGCTGATTGTGGGCCTAAAAGATGCCAGACCCCCTTAGATGCTCAAGGCTATGCTACAAAATAATAAATCATATTTTTGCAAAATATTTTTTTAATAGAGGTTTCCGTTCTTATTTCCACCTTTAATTTGAAATTTCTTTAAAAAATATATATCCTAACGAAAATAAATCTTTGCAAATTAACCACATACTGATTTAAGAAATATAATTATGTAAACGGTAAACGGTATAATAATTTGCAGGAGCAAATATGCACATGATAATAAAAAGTTTCCATACTTTTTTCCATGCTTGTAAGTTCCTATAATAGTGTGAACTAGCGGTGAGCTAGATAAGGAAGATAAGAAAAATAATAATGTGTGGTCCTAATGTAAAAAATGTAAATTCAAAATATATATGAAATACCATTTAAATCTATGAGTATTTCAGAACGATGGCTGACATAATTTTTTTAAAATTTTTCAAGTAATATCTAATATGACACATATGATAACGTTTGACTGCTTGTGCGTCTGCTAGCTGTATCGATACGAGCACTGACGTCATGAAATGAGAACGAGTTTAAGGAATTTGAATTATTTCCATTCCGTTTTTCGCTAAAACTGAAACACTGAAGTTGTTTTACTATTCGAAATTTTTTTTAGCCGTTCAAATGTTATTAACGAAATATTTTGAAACCCTCGGAAGTTATGGTGGGTTCGCGCAAACGTCTGTTAATATTAACACTAATTTAATATAAAAATTACGGTGAAAAATCCAGGCGGACTTTGAACTCCACTAACTAAACCAGTATGCACGTGTGCGTCACGAATGTCAAACTCAACTATTTGGAATTATAACCTTCAATTCGCACACGTACAATTATTTCCTATTTTCTGTTAAAGAGGGCGAAATGGAATTATTCACTATAAAGAAGAATAACTTTTCAAGTAAGCATAAATTTTGAATTATTTCACCAAATGTCACGGTGAACCGTTGTTTTCTTAATTTTAATTTTGAATTAATGCATGAATTCCCCTTGAATTTCCGCCGCCGTTAGAATCTACTCTGATCTGCATTCGTCAGAACTATTATTTACCTCTAAACCCATTTCAACTGGTATGATGTCGTCATCCATCGCGTGGAGGATCATAATCGGGCAATCGACATCTTCAACGTACTTTTTCGAATTGAAATCCATGCCGTTTTCTACAATCGGATCCAAAATAGTCGCCTTGCACCAAGGCAAAAACGAATAGAACCTAACGATGGGATGCATCTTCATAACATCGGTCACCGAAGTAAACGGCGCTTCCAAAACTAAACCAGATGGCACCTGGTTATCCACCTTCAAGGCGGATACCAGCTGGGTCCCGACGCCGGTCCCCAACGAATGCCCCCAGATAAATATTCTAGAATTGCTCTGTTTTCGTAGCCACTGGTACACGTGAACGAGGTCGCTTACTATGGCCTGTTCGGTTATTTCCGCCCTCGTTGAGTCAGCGTAGCCTAAAAATTACATAACAATAATGATAACTCTCGCCCTAAGGATACCCGGTCAACCTCTGTAGTCCACGGCGAGGATATGAAAAATCTCCCTTAAAATGTTATACAGCTCGACGTGTTTGGTACGGTCCGAGCCGTTACCGTGAAGATAAAGCAGTATGTTGTACCGCGCGTTATCGAACGCCCCATCAAAATCGTAATCCTCGTTAGTTAGCAGGTCGCTCACCATATCCAGGGGCAATATCTGCCAGGCACCCAAACTTATTGAACGGTTGTCCTTTGTCGTGACGTCAATGTACATGTTACGCACGCCGCTGATCCCGAATTTGTTAACGTCTGAATAGTTTTGATCCTCTATCAAATCTAAAATGTACAACGGATTTCTTTATATTGCAATAAATGAAAAAATGTATATATATTACACGTAGGGAATATCAAACCCCGCTGGATTTCCACGCTGTACTTGAAAGCCATGGGTACCACAACGAAAAGTATAATGAATACAAGAAGAAGCAGGACTGCGCTAAAAGCCGATGACAAAAAACAAGTTATATCTATCGGTGCATTTTATTTATTAACCTACAGGGTTGACAGTGAAATATGCGTCATGTCAAAGTACAATGAAATTTATAGGTCTGCAACATTAGAAAGAAATGTTTTGTTCCCTAAATATTCTGCCAATTCATACGGCTCTTTCTAAGTGGCAATTTTGGAGATCAAAAACCTGATGGTCGATTTTAATGATTTTAACAAACAGTGATATATGTTTCATAATAATCATCCTGTATAAGTAAGAAAAACAACCGGCAATCGTGGTAGTAGTAGATCGAAGGGTCAAAGCCAAAAAAATTGGTCATGGTTATAGTTTACATCATAATATTTTTTTATTAGTAAGTGATAAACAATATCCGCCTTCCTTCAGAAAAACAACATGCCTTTGTCAACATTTCGGTTATTTCTTGAAAACAACTCGCCCCAAAGGCATCACAAAAATGTATTCGCTACTTACATGTAAGCGCACGTCCCAATGAAACATTTTCGACACCTGATTTTTCTGGTAGCAACGCGAGGGCGATAATTCTAAAACGAAAAAGAATTACTATTGGTCTTTAGATTTCTCTCTATTCCTAATTAGCAGATAATTGAAATATTAAATATTCTAAAATCAAGTACATAAAAACCTATATAGAAGTAAGAATAATACGGAAATAGATAAATTGTAAGAAATTGTAAAAATCTGCTATGGTCAACACCTTCGTTGGTAAATTTTGGTCATTATGTTCCGAGTTCCGAGAGATGTATAGTCGTCCCTTCGACGCACTTCATTTTTTACAACCAATGTCTTTATTTCCGCTTGCAAGAGTTAATTAAGTTTTGAAGCGACTTCGTCGACAATAAATTTCGTACCAATTTGTCTCCTTGGTTCAGCTTATCTTTCTGAAAGTAAGCTGAATGTTTCATTTTTTTTCAAGAAGATATGGGTATTTTTTTGGATTTTCTTGACATAAGAATTATCCATGACTGCAACAGACCCAGTTGGAAATAGTCTTCAAAAACATGAGCATTCAGTCCACCGTCAAATCACAAAATGTAAATTCTTCAGGAGGGCAAAAAACAGCCTGATAATAATTTTAATTACAACAACTCATCAGTCAAATTGAATTACATAATGTGTTTTTTATTTTGGAATTATGCATTGCTGCAAATTTTAATAAAAATTTCCAATAAAAAATGAGGGTTTATGAAGAAGATAAGCTGTTCATCTGTAAAATATCTAATTACACACCGATCTAGCGTGCGGGAAGCGCCACTTTACCACGCCAGTTTCGTTTCCCACGGAACTTGCCACTTCGGACATTTCCGAGGTTTTACCGAACGAGTTTCGGAGCAATCGGATGTTTTCGAAGATATTTCCCACGATTTCAATTTTGACGTTTGTCAGTTGTGACTATCATATGTCAGTGAATGTATTTGCGTTGTTTTGCGACAATGGGCCCATAAACGGTCGTAGAAAAAGTATAGTATGCAACACGTTTGGTAAACTTTTTAAGTCACTCGTTTATTAAACACTCGCTCCGCCGCGCTCCGTTCGTATCAAATAAACTCGTGAGTCAAATGCCGTTTACCGCACTTGTAAATTTTAAGCATCATATAAGTGTTAAAGACTATTATAAGTACAAAAAACAAATGATTCAAGATTTTCATTTTTGTTAGATTTTATTTGTAAGAGCCTTAATAATGTAATTCCTTACAAGATAACTCATCTATAATTAAACCGTTGGCGTTAAATTGGGAATAAATCTTAAAATTTCGATTCCTTATTATCAACCAGATGATTATTAAAATAAAGTGGAATTCTTCAGACTCTATTTTTAAGAATTTCCCTTTTATTGACAGTGCAGTGCTAGTGAAAGAAACAAATTTTCTTCTCCAGTCGGGTAAGAAGCATTAAAATAACTTCGTTTAATAATGTTAATATTAAAATTATGCGTGTAGCAAAAAATAAAATAAAATAATTGTATAGCAAAAGAAAATAAAATTCGTTAATGATTAGATCCCATATTAAATGAAAACATTTTTTGCTTAAATTTTTGGACGAATATAACGTTGTTACACTAGTCGCAGCGGTTAGCGACGAATGTGGAGAAAAACGTAACTTGGTTACGTTGGACGGTTAAATTAATTGGCATTACTATCGAAGGCTTACTCCAAATGGACAGTTTTCACATGTTCTTCAGTTAATAGTACTTTATAGTTGTTGACTACCCATGTATTTTCGTTGCCAGAATCTATATCGGTATTAAGCCGATTTCAGCAATTTTGAGGGCTATGCGGTGCCGATTTAAAACCTAAAATATCTCCTTATTCCAACCCTGTACACTTTCTTTCCTAGCGTCCTCATGCCCCAACCTGACCTTATTTACTCCATCATCGTTGCCAAATGTACAAATTGTGTAAAAGCTAATATGCAACTAGTTGCAGCCTATTTTAAAGGTATTAGGAACAATAATTGCATTATCTGTGGGATAAACATTAAAATTAAAAATTGCAAATGCTCGGACAGTCGGAAGCCAGCTTCACGCCGATAAATGAGCAGCCTCGTCGTAACATGCGGCAACATTGAAGTTTAACCTGGGATGATCGGCATTTTGAAAATTAACGCGTTAGGATTGATTGGATACCAAATGGTCAAAAACCACTTTTCTTAAAGTAATTGCTCAAACAAATACATTTTTACCTGCGACATGTGATGACACATACCGAAGAATATTTCACAAAACTACGATAAACACGACATCCATTAAATGCCTATGGGTCAACTTTGTTTATGCATAAGGTTTGCAACGTTTATAAACGCGGAATCACCTGCGAATTGGACAAAATCATTTCCCGCTTCGTGTCTTTATGCAATGCACCGTTGGGTCAGGCCCGGACTAATGCGAGAAACAAACAATAACCTAATTGTTTTATTGAAAATATTTTTATAACTAACAGTACACCTTACAAAAATATCCTAAAGTCGGCATTTTATGCCTGTATCGCTTAAGTAGATCAAGTAATATCACAGCCGCACTTAACTTTGATGTGAGCCTAAAAAATTTTTTTCATTGCAATCTTTGAGGAAGTTCCTGCAACAAGTGACTAGTTATGTTAAATATCTCTAGTGTGTTAATATACTCACAATATATAAAAGTACATATATGAATCCCTATACATAAATATGTGGTTGTACCTTAGAGATTCATTGAATATGTATAGAAATGTCAGATTTGCCAGTCTACCATACTTTCTTGTCTTGGCAATCGCAAATAATTGTTTACTCATTGAATAAGGAACAACTTCATCATCTTCCGCGTGAAAAATCATTATTGGACAATCCACATTCAATATATTTTTCGCGGTATCAAAAACAAATCCATTTTTGAGTAATGGCCTGATCACAGTTACTTCGAACCACGGTAACCAGGCAAGATACTACAAATTTCTTATGCAACAATGAACTTAAGTAACAATCTCTTACCTTCGCGTAGGGGTGTTGGTAAATTTCATCCTTTAAATCAGTGAATGGAGCTTCCAATATCAAACCTTTAATGGCTCCAATTCTGTTTAATTGCGATATCATAGAGGTACATATTGCAGTGCCCAATGAATGTCCCCAAATGTAAATTGGAGCGTTGGTGTGATTTTTAACCCATTGAAAAATTTGTATGCAATCATTAACTACTGATTGCTCAAACAATTCCCCATTTGTTGAATCGCCATAACCTAAATTAACATGAGGTTTAGAATTATTCTGTTTGATTAATAAGGAATCAGCAAGCTTACATCTGTAGTCAAATGCAATCACATGGAAAAATAATCTCAGCAATTGGTACTTCATTGTATTGTCGGTACGATCTTCTCCTGTCCCATGAAAATACAAAACCACACTGTATTTGCCGTTTCTTAAAGCTTCATCATAATCAAACTTCCTAGTATGAATTGCCATTTTCGCTAACTCAATAGGCAATATCTGCCACAAGCCAAGGGCTAAGCTTTGCTGGGCATCATCGTCTTTGACGATGACGTACCTATTTTTCAGTCCCGAAAAACGAAAATTTTCGTAGTAGCTTTTATTACGTGGCTGATTCCCTGCATTTAAAAAATAATCATTTTCAATAAGACTGAGACGATAATACTTACAATGAGTAAATATCAGCAATTGCTGCAGTCGGATACTGAGCATGAAAACCAACGGCAGGACAACGAACACAAGTAAGAAAGACAACAGAATGAGAAATAAAAAGCTAAAAACAATAGCGTTGTCCAAAATTAAAAGTCCAAGCAAAACACTTGACTTACATCAAAAACATTATCCGTTTGCGTTGAATGGCTATCTGCTTTTTGCGTGTTAATTTGAAAAGTATTGCGCATTTATAATCTCATACTCAAAATCCCTGAAATCTGTTATCGCCGTGTTTAATAACACTGCCATTGTCCACAAAGTGCAAATTTTGAAAATAAAGGAACATAATGCGCTTCCAAAACATTGTGAAAGGACCAGAGACTACGAAATGGTAAAAAACAAGATTTACAAATACATTAATTCAAATAAATTGATTTCTTTCTATTGCTCCACACTTGTCTGTCTATAGCATGTAGCATGAAATATTGCTATTCTACAAATGCATGATCCCAGAATAAATCGAATCTCATCTATCATTTAACTGACCAAAACTAATCTTGCATGACAAACCAACCATACTTAAACAATTTTGTAGAGTTCAAATGTGATTAGGATATTTGCACATATTAATAGTGCAAAGTTGTTCCCGTACTCCCATGGAAACTTCGAAGTTGAATCAAACAATTACCTTTTTTAAAGAAATATCTTTAATGATGTATGGTTTCGGTGACAGTCATGAACCAAACCCAGAAACAGTTTGTTTGGTGGAAAGCATTGTTTTGAGACAGCTTCGAACTATCATAGAAGAATCCATAAAGTATTGGGATGGGAAAATGCTGACGGGAGAAAATTTGATTTTTTTGCTCAGACACAACAAGATTAAAATGCAACGCCTTATTAAATACTTACACAACAAAATATTAAAAAATAAATTAAAAAGACTGCAAAGCAATTCTGAAACTGTGGATCTTGACGAAATCCCAAAGAATAATTTACTAGAATTCATTGAAGAATTGGATGAAACTGGTGAATTCATGGATACATCCTATGTAGATGAAGTAAAACTAAGGAGAGAAATACGTGCAGACAGAATTACACAAGCCCTAGACGAGGAAAAGTACTTGGAATTCCACAAAGCCAGGTGTACATCTTTCAAGAATGCAAATGGTGACCTTAAGCATTTGAAGCTCTGGGTGGACCCTGAAAACCTGATTGCCTTCAATCAAGATGCGCTAGACATTTTGTCTTATTATGCATTTCAGACAGTTGCCGAAATTGTAGATTATGCCTTGTTGGTTAGAGCCGATACAAAATCTACAACGGATCCATTTAAACATTTGCAGGGTTCTTATTATTCCTCTGTTATGTTTAATGGCACTCCCCGATTTGAAGGACTGGATCTTGACTATAGTTCAGTTCATTTGAATCAACCTCCAATTAGTGTAAATGAAATTAAAGAGGTAATGCGCAGACTTCATACTCCTCAGGCTGGAAAATTAAATTTTGGAATCAAGTTTCCGAATACCCATTATTTGTTTGCACTTTAACACTATGTGCTTCATATAAATTGTATTTGTTTGGAGTAGTCTTTTTGCTTTAAATTAAAATACTTCCCAGTAATTTCAGTGAAGTTTAACTTGCCAGATCCACCCAGCCCATAAAATACATACACTACTGTGTAGGATGGTACTCTGAAAATCCTCAAAAGAAAAAACTCATAAATCGTCACTCCTGACCTTGAGGATTTCGGGATCTTGACTGTAAATTCCAGGATTTGTGGAGTACGCGTGTAGGTCCCATAATACACCAATCTTCAATTATCCAGAAATTTTCCGCGCATAGATTTTTCAATTATGCATACTATGCACTTAAAAAAAAAGAGCAAAGGATAATTACAAACTTGAAGTTTTGAGCATAGACAACAAATTATATGTAATTATTTCTTGCATAGATAAATGTCTTATTACTCTAAAGCTTACTAGGAAGGAAAAAGCATTGTTTTCCTTTGGAAGCGTTAATCATTATATTGGTTGGTAAGTTTTGGTTAGTTTGTGTTTAGGCTTATGCTTTCCATTTAGTTAGTTAAGTCAAAAACATACACCAAGAATTTAGAAATCTGCTTTTTTCTAGAAACAAGTTTTAGATGTCTCAAATGATTCCGGTAGAGGTCGCCGCTATTTCCCCGATACTGGAAATGGCGGTTAAGCCTGCCTTCTACTTCATTCCGTAAAATTGACAGTTTTACGCGTGCCGTCTGTATAGCGGGTCGCGTTCGAGGAGTAAGATCCGATATTTTTAGTACATTATTATCTTTTGCATCAAAATGGCGTTCAACGGCAATAAAAGGCAGAGGACGGACACTGACTCGGTCAACAACAAGGTAAATTACATGTTTTTTCCACCCAAGCTTTGTGTGGTGGTTAGATTTGTGAGTCCTCATCCGATCCCATCCAGACAGTTCCTGTCTGATCCATGGGATTTCGGTGTTTGTATTTTTCGGTAATGTTGGGAAGCGCGGAAAATGCTCGCGGAAGGAGAACTCGTCCACAGTTTAATTTATTGATTATTGGAAATGTAACCCGTTTGACTGTAAGCGAGTGTTTCTGTTTGTTATTGTTGTTGAGCGATCCTTTAACAATTGTAAGACGACCAGATTTCTTGGTGCTGAACGTGTGTTATCGCTACTTGTTGAATGAAACATTATTTAATTGTTGTTCCATTTCCAGTTAAATGTCCATAGTCGTTAAAATTGCATTGGTATTATTTGTTTACGATTCGCTTTGTTTACTATATAATATTTACACGGTGGTATGCTGAATGTGAGAGGGCCATCGAGTAATTTAAAGGAATTGGATGGTGACAAGTCCGGAAAGATTTTGTAAACATAGTCGTCGAAGTCTACGACGTTAAAAAACCAATTTCCTCAACGTTTAAGGAAAACAAATTTTTAAATTAAAATAAATAAATATGTATTCGAACATTGCCTGTTAAAAATATTCGTAAAATGCTACCTAGTCAGAACTGTGCATTGTTGTTTTGGTTGTTATGGCAATATTCAGTTGCATTTTCCAAAGCTTACTGTTTAGGTATTTGCAGCTCAATTATTTATGTAGAAAACGTTATTTACTTTGAAAATTTGTAGTCCAGGTTGCTAACAATCAACAATACAATTTTTTCCCAAGAGCCACTGTATATCTGTTTCGTTGTAATGTCATTTTTAGGGTTGTAGAATTGATCGGTCATATTTTTTGTGACAATTGACCGAAATAATGATAGATAACACTTGACAATTGCTAGATATCATTTGAAAACATTTTAATCGAATCAATTGGTATGGGCAATTGACCAACCCGAACACTAGTCATTTTATGCGTTTTTCAGTCAGCTGTTTTCGACAGAAGTCGATATAAAATACGCATGATGGGGTCAGCCATATGTCACAGTCTTCAACTTTTTAATTCTATCATTTTCACATTTCACTTTATTCCCTTTGGTTTACTTTTTTGTGCTAATGTAGGCCATTTACATTCTTTCGGTACCTCAGCTCGTTCTAAGCATTTCCCTTGGCGTTTCAGTTACTGTTAAAGGAAGATATATCATCAATTCAATGGGGAAAACTTCAGCTGTAAGTGCGGTGAAATTCTCTTCGACGAAGTTTGGTCTGTTTCCATTTAATAAGTTTTTATAATCTGCCATCATTTATTGGACACTACTTTGGATGTCTTATTGCTTTAAGTGTGGTCCAGGCCAGCGTTTTATATCAAGTTTTTAATTATTATTCTTTCTTCTGTGTTTTGAGTTACCAGTTTGCTTACTGTAAGCTGTTGTTCAAACCTCCGATCATGCTTATTTAATATCTAAATAAAAGTTCAGTTGAAGTCAGTCGATGATTTTTTCAAAATAATACCGGGTGTGCTGAAAAATTCCCACATTTTTCAGGACTCTGGGATTTGTATTGAGCACAAAGAAAGCACAACATCCTATTTTTTTACCTAGATCACAAAAATTAAATCATTTATGTGTTCAACACAGTATTTGTCGTATAAAAATGGTTGCTTAATTTATTTATAAAAATATTTTTACTGAATTTTCAGGTGATCGTTGGCGGTTTTTTAAAGCATCCAGTATATTGTCGTTCAAGTGTAAACTAATCAAGTATAGGCTATTTAGGGTAAAATGTGGATTAATAGGTTCAGTTCAGTGCAGCTCAATTTCGGTCTCGGTCATAGGCGGGTCAATCAAAATTAAAATTATTTTTGGCTTCTGACCTGACCACTCACTATTTTATCTGATATATGCCACTTTTTATTCCTTTGTGATGGGGTAAATGGAAATCAACGACACTTTAATCACATAGTAATTAGGACATACTTACCGTAGCGCCTTTATAAGTATGTTTGTTTAGTTTAAAGTACCAGCAGTTGCTATGAAGCCGCAGTGTTTACAGTGTTATACGATAAGTAATAAAATAAATATCAACGAAAAAAAAGGTTTGCTCTCAGTCGTGTCATGCGCGAAATTATTTTGGTGAAATTATAAAATTTCTTCAGGCTGATATAGAAGTCATGGATAACGCAAGCTAGCGCTCGTACAGACGGGGCTCCAGCTTCATTTCGGCGAAAACAAGAAGTTATCGACTACTTAACCACCAAAAGTATTGAATGTTAAGATACTTTGTTAAAGTATTAACTATTACAGTTGTAGTAAATGTACATTAACAGTGTTTTATGAAATATGCATTGCAAGATATATTAGAAAATATAGTCTGCTGCTCACACCGCCATATCTTTGCCAACTGAATCCTATGAGCGGGAGTAAAAAAAGCAAGACACAACCCGCCAAATAATTTTTTTAAGACCTTAAGCTGTTCTTTGATCAAGTGGACCAAGTTTAGTAATGAACTAGACAACATGGAACATCAAATATTGTCGATTAGGTTTGCAGAGTTCGGGGCGCTGGCGGATATAGCTAGATCATCCAGCTCTTATATTAGTGTTAAAAAAATAGTGATAGTTGGCGGATCTGAGTTTTTGACATGACATTCGTTGTACCACAGGAAGCCATCTTCGCCCCATCATTTTATAATACATATTATTTCACTACAAAAATGTTTCAAACATTTAAAATACTATTCTTCGCCGATGACTTGAAAATATACATCAAGTTTGGAACAATACTGCCACAATAACCACCTCTACCTTGCTTTAGCATTTTTTTAAACCAAAACCGTTATATAAATAAAGAAATAGAAACCCAGTATACTTTTAAAACCCTAAATCTCTTCGTGCACTGTATTATACAAGTAGAAAACCTATTTTTAGGATGTCTCGTATATAAAACACTAATATTGAAAACCAGAATTACTAACTCTCCAAAACAAAAGAATGTTAACAGACCTCTTAAAGCTGCACAATGTTTTAAACGGTTAAGTTAACTCTCCTTATCTCTTATCAAAAACAATACCAATTTATAACGCAAGAGACAGATGTTCTGTTTGAACTAGCTAACCAACATAGGACAGAAAAGTTTCCAATCACCAGATTACAAAATATATTTAATTTTCATCTATTCATATTTTTTCATATATTTTCTTATTAAAGGTTTTAAAATGCCGAATGAAAAATGTTTTCTAGAATATAACTTAATTTTGTGCTGATAATTGGTAAAGTTTAGATTCAGTTTTAAGCCTATCTTTTTAAGATATAACGGGGATGCTTTTTTGGTATTTTGTACTTAGGCAACCTAAATTGTCAATTAATAAATAAATAAAGAAGAGGACAGAATGTGTAATATTGACTAGTTGATCAGTCGGATCTTTGCGTGGACCCGTTAATTACAACGTCAAGAGAACAGTTTCTCTCAAAGAATATTATGATTTTTTATGGTTTAATTTCAGTATAATGTGTTTTTTATTCCATTAAAATAAAAATCATTCCTTTTTACAAGTATGCTAGCGGGATGCCTCTGGCACACCAATTTCAGGGTTGGCTAGATTGACCCAAAGCCGGCTGGTACTATAGTTGATACAATAAAAGGAAGCTGGTGGCTTGAGTATTAATTGGGTCACTTAGTAGTCCTTTTGCTCACCTAATGAAGTGTTATTACTTTCTAAAATATACTCTAGTTTTTTGTTATCGGCGCTTCGTCATCGTGTGTCTCAAAAATTATATCATAAAGAGTGCACTGACCGCCATTTACCGTCCAGGGACAATCGACGCGTTTTGCAATAAGAAGAAAATATAACAGATTCTATCTCTGGGCAACGTCCGCGCGCGTTGACCCCACCGAGGCTAACCAGTTCGATCCGAAGTGTGCATAAAATGTACGATCGAGTAGCGCAGCGCACACATTTTCACACTTTCCGAGTTTAAGAAATCAAAGCCTTGACCAGTTAATCTGATTCGCGCTTGTTATCGGACGATCCTTCAAAAGCACGTTATCTTGAATTAAACGCGCGGCTTGCAGGTTTTTAAATTGAAAGGAGACCGGAAAGGTCATTTTTTGACAATATAAAAAGAGACACTCTCCTTTGGCGCTCGAAATATTGTCGAAATATTCTCTCGTCACTCTTCATGACATTTGGTGGCATTGGATGACGACAAGCATAAACAGTCTGTAGTGCGCTTCGCGCATCACATCCTTTGTTTAATTGGCGGACATAGACGAGATGTTCTTTTAGGAGACAGATCTTTCATTTCCCATAAACATAAACACGTTGTCACATCTATCTGGCCATTTTTGTGAAATATTTCTCTATACTAACGGCTTTCGAGATGTTTAATTATCTCTATATTTTTCGGCTGAAAATATTATTGCTTGGGTACTTCACTACTGAGAAAGTTTAAGCTTAAGCTATGGTTGCACTTTGCCAACATGCTGGGCACTAGTTTCCTGTAGAATAATAATAATAATAATAATGATAATGATGCTACGTCCTTATACAAAATTAGCAAGAATGTCACATTTTTCACATATTCAATATTCTCATACATAATTAAAATTCCTTTCAATTGATAGATAATTTATAACTTATGTTGTATTATATATCATAATTATATAACTGAAATGACAAAGTTTTGGAAATATAAGCAATTTTCTCGAAAAATCGAATTATTTTTGGTGGGTAATTATGTCTATGAATATGTGACAAGAAATTTAAACGAAAATTTCACACCAGTAGTGTTTAACACATGTATTGTTTCAGAAATCTGCCCACTCTACCTACAAGATTGATAAGTGGAAATTTCTCTGGCTTGACAGCTTTAGTAAAAGTAATGACGTTTCTATATTCGTTTTTGCGTGAAATTTTCATACCGAATCTCCCGTGGTTAGTCTCCCTAAGTTAATCTCCGAACAATTTTTCTTACTATACAGTTTTCA